ACTATTACATTTTTGAACATATGTTTGAACATAAACCATCCAAGAAACAATGGAGCACACCTTACAGCAATCTGAAATTGGTTTTTCAACCGTTCCTCTGGCCCATGGTGTCAAAGGCCTCCAAGCCGCCAGAACCGTGTCCTTCAACTCCCATTGGCATCGATCAGTTGACCAGCACCGGCAAAAGCGACAACGGCGAGCCTTGTACTTCTCCGGCAATTCCCAATCCATATCGTTCGGCACTGCAGGAGCATACTCAGACGGCTGGTTTGCCCGAGCACTCTTAACACTCCTCCCTGCTTCCGAGGACATGAGTATCAAATCTCTTTCTAAGTTGCTTACTGACACTTCTTTGTAGCCAAATGGCACTAGAATGCACCTCATGACTCATGACACTTGCACCCTTGCACCGCACTGTTGCACCCTTGCACCCCCCTCACTGCACCACTGCACCAACTGCACTGCACCAAAAAAGTTGCTACGAAAACAGCAAATCTTGCTATGAAAACCCTATATATTGCTATGAAAATATGGTTTTGTGCTACGAAAAAGTGGTGCACTCTGTCTGGTGCACTGGTGCGCTGAAGAGGTACGCTGGTGCAGTCTCCCTGGTGCAGTGGTGCAGTCTCCCTAGTGCACCCACTACATACGACAGTACATATGATTCATAGATCCAAAAAGCTCAGCTCACCCAAGACAAACTTGTTTTTACTTCATCAGTCATGTCACATCTCACTACATATCCTCCCTCAAGACAAAGGCTTCAAATTGGGCCAAATGCTCATTGGCTTGATTCCGTTTGGAAAAGGCAAGCCCACTTTGCAACCATCGTAGAGCACCTGCCTTGAATATGAATGAATTGTTTGAAAATATATCGTAACATATCCGAACTATTACTTCAAAACCAAACGGATTAGCCCTTACAAACAAAAAATAAGAACTTTTCAAATCCAACTTTCAAAATGTTTGCAAAGTCCCTGCCTGGAACGAGTTTGGCAAACGTTTCAATTGAATGATTCGCGAGCATTTGGCATGAAGTTTGCAAGCAATGGAAACGCTATGCCCAGGAGTGTCAATTTTAAACTCTGTCAGGCGTCCTGCTCCAAACAAAAACGGAGAAACTCTCAGTTTTACAACTTATGTCAAGTGGAAACACTTATCTTTTCAAAACCCATGTCCTATGGCTGCTGCGTACGACGAAGTGAACACATAGCCGTCCTTGTCTTGCCTCACAACGCAGCCAGACGCCTCATCAAAGACACGAAATTCAGCTTCAGTTGGATCTTCTGGTGTGTTAAATGCAGACTTCTTCCTCATTCTGATGGATGAGGATGATGCGGCTGATGCCACTGCTGGCGCTGGAGATCGGCTGGACGATGAAGCTGATGTGTTCACCGGAGGTACTGAGGCATGTGCATGTTCACCGGAGGATCTTGCTTCAATAGAACCATTCTCCTGATGCAAAATCACAAAAAGATAAAACCAATGCGACATATAATGTGTATTGATTGATATATTATTTCAGTTTCAATGTCTAAACAAAGTACAAAAAACTCGGAGCAACACAGCTGACATTGAGTCTTCAATTCCATCAATCCAAAGAAAACACAGAACGAATAACAAACCAAAATGAAAGTGAGCCAAGGTTCCAAGTCATGTGCATGATTCCATGCTGTCTGCAATTGCTCATCTTCATTTTCGATTGCATCAACATCGGCTTCATGATGCGCTTGCTGTCTCTTTCGCCTCTCTCCTGTCACTTCTGCATGCAACACCAAATTGATCGGTTTTTCCCTCTGTAAATAGCTAAATGTTGTTCATGTGTATGTGTTTGTGTGGGTGGGGTGTGATAGCACAAATGTTTTATTACTTTGATTCCATCATTCTGGCTTTTGATTTGAAGTTTGACATGATTTTAATTTATAACTTATAATTGATACTGATACTCTTTGCTCTATGCTACACTGCACAATGATCTTGTCGCACCATCTGCTACTATACTCACAACTTACAAACGACTACCAACCACCAACCACAACCACACAACAAAGTGTGTCTCCTTTCGCCACACCAACTACTCGTACTGACGCTCTGGATTGCTTCTCTTCAGTTGCACGAGTTGGCTTGGAAACCATGCGACGAAAATGCCTCATGGACTGGTCACATTGATCCTCTTCATCGGACAGGCTATAGTCGTTGGTACCTGCTTGCAGCCACTGGTCTGACTGCTCGAGCGGTAGCTGAACTCGAATCAAAGACCATGTTTGCACCTCAGGAATCAAGAACACTGAACGCAGAATGAAAAAATTAAAAACAAAAAACAACACACACACAAAAAAAAACAACACACACACATACAAAAGGCAGTCAGAACAACAACAGCAACAACAACAACCACAACAACCATCAACAACAAACAAACAACTGCAAACAAACAAACAAACAACAACAAACAACAAGAACAACAGGAACAAGAACCAGAACAAGAACAAGAATCACAACAACAAAACAACAGCAACAACAACAAAACAAAAACAAACACAAAAACTCAAATTAAAATACAAACAACAAAAAAACAAATAAATAAACACAAAAAAACTCAAACCCAAATTGTAAATGAGTTACTGTGTACTCGCATATTGCCCATTTCACAGTTCCTGCAGTTGAAACCATGTCATTGATTTTGTTGGCAAACTCAAGCTGCGGAAAAATTACTGGCAAGCCCGCTGCATCGCAAAGAGGAGTGGCATAGATAGTCAAGCCTGCATCAGATATTTCCTGACGAATGATGCTCCAGCGCCACCAGTCGGCTTGAAGAGGATTGAATTGGCTCCAACTCATCATCCAACAGTCCAAGTGCCTCATGACTCGCGACTACATGCAGACATATAACTATATAAAACAAAACTATATGCCTAACATTGCCTGAAAAACCAAAACAAGTTTGTAGAATGTAGATGCAGATGCAGAGTAAAGCTTCAAAAAGCAAAGAGTAGAGACAATGACAAGGGTTCACAAATGTATCACCACCCCCATTGGACAGCCAAGATGCGCGCCACCCACACTGCGAGCAACCAAAACAGGATGAGGAATGCAAACTTGCGGCCCTTGCGACTTCTTTGTGCCTTCCTTGACATGACGCCTGTGATGTCCCCTCACAAAACATTTCAACTCCTCCACAAGGATGTCAAACCGATCCTTCGGTGAGATCGTTTCATGGCAAAACCCATACTGATCTTGACAAGACAGTTGTACCACCCCTCGTTGTCTTTGCAAATCGTTGTTTTCACCACAAACTCCACCGGAAAAGGAACGCCATGCTGCGTTGTAATTCTTCACAAAACCAGGACCTTCTGAATCTGCTTGTCGAACCAAAGCCAACCCAATTCCAAAGTCTTCATCCCCAAGACCGAACGTACCAACACCCCCCTTGGAGTTCAATGGCATCAAGTGCTTGCGCGAAGATGCGGCAGCTGAAACCAATCCAGTTTCGACTGCCGGACATGGAGAACCCTCTGAAGCATCTGCATTCTCTCTTGCCACCACTGACCCAATGGCCCTGCTCTTATTGAGCTCCCTGGCTCTGGTTGAAAACAAAGCTCTCAGCCGGGCCCCTTCTTGCGATTGCTCGCCCCATCTGTACTGGCAATGATGCATGATACGTTTGCGACACTCTTCAGCGCTTTCCCCAAGCAAAGGAACCCGATTCTCCATTTCACTCGACCAAAACAATGAGAACCCATTGTAGCATCCTCGCCGTGCAGGAGTCACCAAACCTCCGCTCAGTTTGTGAAGCAAACTTCGCACAGCCACAAACTTGCGTGCATGAATAATGAATATTAAATTAAATATACTATATCATATGATATATAATGTAATGTATATATATATGTATATTATTGTGCATGTGTCCACACGCTGTGTGTGATATAAACAGTAGACTATGTGAACAACATGCATGATGTACAGAGCAAAATGAGACGTCGTATGTTTTCCCTTGCCAATGCATGCGAATAAGCAGCTAGACTCGACTTTGCTTCAGGCTCACCAAAAGATTCCAGACTCCGAAGCTAATTTAATGAGCTGAGAAAAACATATTTTCCAAATTGTTTCCTGGTGACCTAAAGAATCCCAAAGAAGACCCCGGCAAGTATATAAGTGAACAAAAACAACTGCTGGCCACACCTGCTTCATCTGAGTGAAGTTGCTCGCTGCAAGCATGAGTTCGCATATGATCTCTGACATGGCTGAGCTTTGCTTCGGCGAGAACGTGTTTGGCGCAAAGGCTGGAAGCAAGGTCAACTCTGCCTCTCCCCACCCGTTTCATTGACTGCATCCGGGCAAAGTTTGTCTCAACTTCGATGTTGAAAATCTTGCCATTGAAGCAAGCCTTCAGCAAACCAACGCATGACCCTCCAGGAAGTAGGTCATGAACATTCAAAGCATGTGCTCTCAGCTGCTTCCCCCACCAGTCATTGAGGCAACATGGTAGAAGCTGCAAAAATTCCGAAGCGAGTTGATGTTTCTCAGGAAGTGAAGTTTCAGAATCAAGAAGCCCAGCCATCTTCCATGGATATTGATTGTAAGGAAGCCACAGCCTATGAAAAAGCTGACCCACCCCTTGCACAAAGCACCAGAACATATGGTCCAAGAAGTTCTCAGCGATACGCCCTGGCAGACCTGAGTGGATACATTGGGAACAAAAAGCTGCAGGCATTTTGGTTTTGCTTTCAACATCTTTTAAAGTTACAATATTTTACAATCTACAAGCATTGCCGTGACATTGCGTATTGGAAATGGCACTTCGAATAGCAACTTGCAACAGCTACGATACAAACTTTGTGGGGCTGCTGATTAACAGTAATTATTGAACCAAAGTCAGCAATGATCCTGGGAACACGCTGTGACCTTGTGCACTATATTGCTGCGCTGTGCTATGACCTAGCTTATTGCATTGGAACTGCAATCTCAAACTTGTTCAAGTCCTATACTTCTCTGTATCACTCAAAACTTTGCACACAGTACCCACCCACACCGGCATGAGCTAAGCAGCCATTGCACAGGTCGTCAACAGAAACCTGTAGAGCTCCTTCTGGAAAAATAAGACCAGTCAACATGACGGCAATGATTTCTCGCTTTGCAATACATGCAGGTGAGCGGGAAGAGCTTGCCATCACAACCATTGGTGGATCACATTCTAAAAGATAAGCCTCATTTTCCTGCCACTTCATGAACTGGTACATGATTCGCTCCATTGGGGACACACTGATGACCGACATGGAAAGACGGTACACAGAGTCTTCGTTCTCCAACCAAACCATTGTCTTCTTCGCTTTGACTCTGAGAACTTTCCGATATAGATCAGTCGAATCTCCCGACTGGGCTTCAATCATTTCTGCACCGGTCACATCTTCATCGCCAGAGACACCAAGCGACGACTGTTTTCCATGTAGTCGGCGAAACCCTTCGCGCAGAATTTGGTGGTATCCCAATGCACACCTCACATTCTACAGGCAGTCCTCCCAATGAAATGCATGCAAGTAGCTACAGCTCGAGTTTGACATGCACTATCTCTCCTTTGACATGCGCTATGTGGGATCTTATTTACCGTTTGTGTTTCTGTTTGACGCTTTGGTTTCCTGTTCTCTCTCCGAAACATGTGCACATTCTTGGAGAGCACTGAGTCAGAACAATTTAGAATCTAGAATCTAGTAAATCCCAACGCAATACCAATCATGCCTATGCAGCATACATGTGTGCGACAAGTCACAGGTAGTACCGAGCGGCCTTGCCGCAGCTGGTCCAGCGAGCAATGGCAGGTGTTGTGGGCTTCAATCCAAACACGAAAGCCTCGCGTTGCGCTCACATTGTAGTTAACTGAACTGAAACCATGCCCAAAAACAACCAGAAAGAAACATCTTCTTTAGAACTGCAAGATATGAAATATTTGGAAAGTCAAGTGGATCAAGTAACAAAACAGATCAAGAATTCAAGAATCAAAAAACTCACAGTTAGTACAAAGTACAAAGTACAAAGTACAAAGCCTCAACTGGCCCCAAAGTCAATCATTGCGCAGTGCAGCTGACCACAAACCAAGGGACAAGGATCGCCACCCACAACTTGCGCCGCGTCTCGTCCAAACCTCCTCTGCAGCAACCAATGCCACCGCAGTGATGAACCAAGTGACCACTCAAACTCCAATCGCCAGTGTCTAGCTTCAGAAGCTCTTCGCCCAACTGCAACTTGCGGCTGTAGCTGTCGAAATCAGGGTCTGAAGAATCCATTGGACCACGGCAACCGAGAACCAAATGCACAAAGGCACGATTACGTCGCAGAACTGATTCGTCGGGCCTGCGCCGGCAGTCGCATGGTGGTGCTTTGATGCTCTTTGCAAGAACAGATTGGTTCAAAACAGCTTGGCGCCTAGCCATGGATCACAACATCTCAAACGAATCGATCAAAGATCAAAGATCGGAAGGCTGATCTGATCCGTATACTTGTACTACTATGTATGGCAATGGTATTTCAGGCCCCCGGTCAACCATATACCCGGGCCCTGTCCTGTCGAACGACACCTGCACTGTTCCAGGGGCCATCACCCAGGCTTGAATGTGTCGCAATAGATTCAGCAGATTGCTGCCGCTTGAAAGAAATCCTGTTGTGTAGAACCTCAAGCAAATCTGTGCAGAGCTAGAGTTTAGTAAGACGTCGCACTCTAGCTGCTCTTGGTGATAGACCTCATGCTCTCGTTACGAAACTTAAAACCTTGCAAAGAATTGTAAACATAACCTTCCTTCAGTTCATTCTCGTAACAATTGCTACTAAACTATAAAGTATCAACTATAAACGGTTGACAAGCTAAACTTATAATCCAAGTCACATGCTATGTAAACATAATCTTCATTCAGCTCATTCTCGTAACGATTGCTACTATAAACTATAAACTATAAACGTTTGACAAACTAAACTTATAATCCAAGTCACATGTTTGTTAGGTGGCCCAGCCCTCGCCAAATCGGTTCACTCGAGTGATTCAATGCGTGCCTTAGCAATCACGCAACGTCGATCAACTTGGGTGCATATTTCTGTTCCAGCAGGCAATGAGCAACAAAATAAGTCGATCAATGTCGAGGATCATATCGCATAATTTGTGCATTGCAACTACGTTTGGCCGCCGTTGCGCCAATATCGCAGAACGAAACAGTTTCGTGTTCGCTGTTGCTGCGTCTGAAGTGAGCCGTATGACACACACAGAGCACCAGTCGGACCAGCCTCAGCTTGCAAGCCGTTCGACCTAGTGACTTTGGGCATCTTTGGGCTTCTAAGGCTGTCAACTCTGTTTTACATTACACATTCTGAGTCTATGAATTTGAATTCAATAACTTGCTTGCATTCCAAGGGGCTCCAAAATGGAACAGGATGTTTTTGCAGCATACCTTCCCACAGGCATTCTGCACTAGTGTTCTCGAGGACCGCTGTGGCAATCGGAACACTTGTGTGCCTGGCACTTACTAGTAATCAGCAACATCACATGAAATTGAAAATTTGTTAAGTTCAAAACTCAAAACAAACTTCCAATCTACAAATCACAGCGTGACCAATAACTGCGTAGATCACGCTGCTTGCAAAGGTCGTGAAAGACTGGTGTCACCGCATCACTTGTCATGTCCATTGGATGCTCCCTAACACAGCCAAGGTGCATGAGATGTTGGTCGGATTGTCTCTTCTGCGCAAAGAGTTCCATCCGCTGAACCTATAGCTTTGGGATGGCATTGGTCCGAAAATCTCATGTGTGAATGCTTGATGTTTAGAATATAATATTTCAGAATGTATAATATTTCTGTACCCTCGTCGGTACTAAAGCAAACTGCTGTTGTAGTATAGCATTGCATGATGTTGCATGTTCTTGCATGTGATTCATGTGTATTGTACAATGTGAACATTGAGTTCTGCCTTATTATACAAGTTGCTTTCCAATAAATACTTTCATTAACATATACCATGTTGGCTCAACATACAGTAGTTGGTTGTGGCAACAATACTAACCACTAAACAAGAAATCACGGCCGTTAAGTTGTCGCAAAAAAAAAACGAATCACCACTATGCATCATCATTTATTTTGATGCGATTGCCAAGTGACCAGGATGGGGTATGTGGCTTCCACATCAAGCATGCCAGATCGCAAGCGAGTTTTTTTTGATGACTCATCAAATTCCATGCTCACGCAAATCAGATGAGGTTTTTCCTGAGTCCGGCGCAGTTTGTTCATGCGCTGACCGTGCAGGGGCTAACAAACAGTTCGTTAAACTATGAACCCGTTGAACTACGCAAAGAGTAAAAATGATAAACAAATAACAAAAAAATATATTCACCACATCCAAAAACAAACACAGCTGCGCAGGTAAATGAATCATCATTTGCATAGTAAATAATATATATATATATAAATAAAAACCACATATGCATACACACATTGTATATAACATATTTTTTAATGTTTGCAATAGATACATTCATAGGCTATAGTATATAATATAATATATATATATATATATTATTTTATTATTATTAAATACATATGTATAATATTACATATATATATATATACAATATATTATATATTATATTCATTATATTATGTATATCTAATAATGTAAAATTTAAAAGGTATATGGTATAATATAATATATAGAATAATATTATTATAGTTAGTCAGTCTATGAGTCCAGGACGCCTTTCACGCAAACTACCTTGTTAACCTGACACCCTCCGAACCATGTCGACTACACAGTCAAGTTGCTTGCTGAAATCCACAAACGGCAACTGAAATTGACTGCAGAAAGAGTTGGGCAACGGCCCCGCGAACCTGATTGTCAGCGGTTGAGTCCAAAAGTATGATGCCTTCATCTCTGTAGTAGCAATCTATTCAGGCTTACTCATCTTTGTTACATCAACCTTTCTAGACCAGTGCGCTCATTTTACTGTATGCTGCCAGAAAGCCGCAGAGATGAAACTTGTGGATGACTGCAACCAGTAGGATAACGAATTCACTGAAAAACACCCTGGGGTCTTGAGATCCCGAGATGGCAGCTTCATATTCTTTCGCTTGCCGTCGGACTTCGCAACTTTCTTCTTGAAACCCTTCATGTCGATGGGGTTCCCTAACCTCATGTTGCAGTACCATGTTGGATTGGTGGAAGGTGAAACCGAACTAAGAAAACACCCCTGACTCACGTGTGTACAACATTTGCAGTAACCATTGAACATTGAATTGAATTGAACCATTGAATTCAATCGTCAACCGTATTTGTTCACATGCATCATACAAGGCTTGGAAGTTCACTTCAAATTCAACCTCTCTCAGATCCTTCTAAGATTTTGTCACTTGTCACATCAAGCGTCATGGTTTGCATTCAATTATTTTATTTCAACAAAAAGTATAGGATCAAAAGGCGTGCAAACTTTGAGTTTTCCACAAGCTCTGGATGGTTGGCAGTCGAGATACGATACCTTGAGCATGGCCTCTGCTGTCCATGTGCGGTACTTACCCTTTCCTCGCACGGCCGAACCAGTATCCCTCTTCCTCACGGCACCCTGCATGACAAGGGAGACGCCAGTCGTAGTTGCCTTCCCTTTCCTGGTACAAAAAAAAACGACAGACTGCAGTATGCAAATGTGTGCAAATCACAAACTGTAATCGCAAAGAAAACAATGGCCATGGTAACGGTTGCCTTGCTGCTGTAAGAGTATGCAACTGAAAGTCTTGATGCAATCAATGCAATCTGAGATTCGGTTTCTCTCGTCGCAACTTTGCTGTTTCTTTGCCTGTGTGGCCAAAAGCCACCACATAGCCATAAAACCAAAACACCACCTGTACAGTAATGTAATAATGACTGACATGAAACCATCAATCATATTTGTCTGTGTTAGTTTTTGGTACAGTAGTAGTTCAGTTTGGTTTTTGTTCAATTGGTTTGCCTTGTGAAGGTTAATTTACTGTACTTTACTTTGTTTTTCTCGATTTAAGTTAGGTAAGTAGCTTTGGTTTGCTTTGGAACCTTGCTTCAAACCCTACACACAAACCCCAAAAAATAAAGACATAGTGAAGTAAAAGAAGCTCGTTACAACAAGGCTTTGCAACAAAAGCTAATGACAATGACAATGCCACAACCCAATCCCCAATGTTTCCGATGACTTTGATTGAAATTGATCGTGTTCGGTTATCAAATTATGATGTTTGGTTATCAAGGAAATCTGAAGTTGACCACTGGACATGCACATGCTTAGCACATAGTTCCTGACCCAAATGATGCTCATGACCCTTCACTCATGAACGCCGGGGCACACTTTCGCATAAAACGCATGTGTGACCTCACCAGCTTTGCATCATCATTCAGCTCGGCGGGCGCATGACACAGGCGGCCCACAACAGCCAGCGCCCTCCGCAATACATGCGCCATGAGACTCTAGGACTCTAGCACCATGAGATATGTTGTTGCAAATTTATGCAGCCGTCCTGTTCCAAAAGTTTAGAATTTTAGCCTCAGATATGTTGTTGGTTTCTTTTCAGGCCAACATGATGGTGTGTTGTTTCAAGCTTCAAGTCGTTCATTTTTTTCAATTTTATTTCCTTCAACCGCATGCCTTACAAATCAAGAACATTCACATTCATGAGTTCATGATTCAAAAAAACAGCTTCGATCCAAGATTAAATTACCACATGGCCGAGCAAAGTCAACACACAGTGGTTGGACAATGCGATCAAGCTATAGTGTGAGATGCTATGAGCAACGATTTATAAACAGCGATAAGCTCGTAGTTAAGATACCATCGAGCCATGTTCGGAGTTGAATTGGAATGGGTTCATTTTCAACTGCTCACGGAAGTAAACTTCCAGTCGTACTGCCACATGTTCCAACATGTTCCAATAATGGTGGTGAAAGAAATTCAAGTTCAAATCAAAAAACAGCGCTGCATTGCCGATGATTGCGAAAGACCCATTCCCACATCTGCCTACACCCTTCACCATTATTGTTCTTCTGAGCTCCTCCCACCACTTACTACCATGAACCTGTGTATGGTGTCCTAGCCGTTTATGGTATCAATGTCTAAATTTTGCCATTGCGACTACTATTGCTACTGATACTGCTGCTGACACTACTGCTGCAACAACTGCCACCAGAACTACTGCCATAAGGCTACTGCTGATACTTACAAATACCAAGAAACAATACCACCGCCAGACACTATACCACGGCTTCCTGCCATGTATACTATATATATACTTTACTATATGCTTTTTATGTATATGGAATACTGTATCTCGTATTCTGACTCAATACTCTAACTTCTTCATGCTGCAGAATACATTAAATACATATCGTACTTGTGCACTTCCAAAGCTTCTGACTTCAAGATCATTGGCGCCATTTGTCATCTCAAAGGATATCATGGCCAGTAATTGAAGAAAACTATATACAAGTAGGATACAAGTAGGATACAAGTAGGATACAAGTAGGATACAAGTAGGATACAAGTAGGATACAAGTTACAAGTATATACGCACACTAAGTTATATACTATATACAGTTTACAGAGATACTTGCACATACACAATCGCACCACTGCACCTGCACAACTACTTGCACAAACGCAATCGCACCACTGCACCTGCACAATCGCACCACTGCACCTGCACAATCGCACCACTGCACCTGCACAATCGCACCACTGCACCTGCACAATCGCACCACTGCACCTGCACGATCGCACCTCTGCACCTGCACAATCGCACCTCTGCACCGCATCATTGTACACTAGCACCGCCCTTCCACGATAGCAAGCACAAGAACATATGCTTTTCATGGCTTTCAAATTTAGATAAGTATATATATATACACTTTATACATATAATTAGATGTATACCTATATCATAGTAGAATTGCTACTACCTTTGTCATGCTGTTGATGCAGCCATTCCTCCGCAAGTGGGCTCCCAGGCTGCATTCGCCCGCGGCTGTCCAACTTGGGTCCAATGATGGGCTCGTCCTCATCCTGGTTTCACACCGGTCGAAAAGGGTGCTATATCGGAGTGGTGTCATTCCCAACGTTTGGTTGGTGAATGTTGATTAATGTTGATTAATGTTGGTTATAGTTTTAGACTACCCCCAAGTCCTTGTTGGTTTTTCACTTTTTGGTGGTCATTCTGGAGAGATTAGAGATAGTTGGAGCCAACAAAAGATGGTTTGAGGATAGTTGCATAGAAAAATTGGACCATCAAGTAGGTATTTCTCACCTAGTTCTTGTGGAAGGATATTTGTTTGGCAAGACTGACTACTAGTACAATGACTCTAATGGTTGGGTCAGTGTCATTGCAGACTAGCATGCAGGTGAATGATACCAATATTCAGATACAAGGGTGCCATCAAACATATAGAATGTGTGGTTTAAAGTGATTTTGCGGGCTAGCAGTCAAATCGCCCAGCAAATTTGTGCCTCCTCCTCCTTACATGTCTTACATTCTATTCTAACCCATCCCCTCATGGTGTGTGTTGCACATGCTCTCCTCATCGTTGTAGCCTTCGATCCTCTGCCTTGGTGTGTCATTTTGTGAAAAATCATTCATCCAGTCATCCAGGGTGCCGAACGAATCACACTAGAATTCACTGAATCACTGGATTGGTTTAAGGGAAAATCTACAGGAAACCATGGTTTTTACCATCAAATATAGGGCTTTCCTGTAAATTATCCCATCATCCAATCCTATGACTGAAGGGCACGCACCCCCTGGTGACTGAAGGGCCGGACGTCCTGGAGCTAAGGATGCGACATGTCAGATTCCAGTCCAGCCTGGAGATTGGGCATGTTGATTCGCTCAAAGATCTGGATTTCAATTTTATCTGGTTGGTGGTTGAGCCCTACCCCTCTGAAAAAAAATGAAATTCAGTTGGGGTGATTATTCCCAATATATGGCAAGTCATAAAATTCCATGGTTCCAAACCACCAACCAGTTATATATGGTTTCCTGTCGCACGTGTTCCTCTACCACATGGCCGTAAAATATCATCCCCACTGGGCATCCGCTCCACAGCTTGCTCCAGCAATCTGGCCTTGTTCCGGAACGGCGCTCATGGCAGCGGGCTTGGCAGAAGAGAAGTGGAGAAGGCAAATTCCCAAAGTTGTGATTTCGGATCTGCCACTGAAAACCGATCAGTTGCCGTCAAATTGCCACGATATTCGCAAAGATCTCAGGTTTCAAAGAAAGTGGAGCGTCATCTGTCAATAACTTCTACACATGTTTTGCCGGTGATCTTTGCCCCCGAAACTGTGGAATTTCAATGGGTCCCCGCACCACTCGTAAATGGATCTGACGGCTCAACATGGGCCCTTGCACCTCAACGACTCCAAACTCGGTGTTGAAAACCACAAGGCGTGTCCAAGGTGTGCATGAAAGTTTGTTGTTCATTATGGGCCAACCCTCAACGTTGTTTCCATGTGGCTGGTGTCCAGGGTGAACTCCTCCCCAAATCAGGGGGCTGAGGGCCGGACACGTCGACCACCCTCAATGGCCAACTTGTACAGCACCGGCATGTAGAGTGTGAACCTGCAACTCACCGGGACACTCAGACTACGTTCGATTCATTTTGAGCCAAAAGAAAGGGAACCTGTTGGTGGCTCAGCCTGATTGAATCTATTTGAAAGATACTACTCAACTAGCCTTCACCATCTCAAGTAGGGATGCAGAATCATGTTTAACCTGGTGGAAAAATCGGTTGGTGCATGCTGCGACATAAAAACCACTAGTGACTAGCCCTGAACGGTAGCTGGCTGGCGAAAATGATCCACCAATCTGTGGGACCGACTGACCGTCTCAACTGGTCCATATCCACTTAACACTCTGCCGAGCCGAGCCAGTTATGATCAGATGTGGCCAGAAATTCCTGCTCTTACCTGTAACTCCAGGGCTCAGTTTGACTCGTTTGCCACAGGACTTCGTTTATAGATCATGGAGCAAGAACAAGTTGGGCATCATCATCATCATCATCATCATCATCGTCATCAGATGATTTTATCCCAGTACAAATGGAGGATTATTTCCCAGTAGCATGATCATTTGATTGCCAATGATGGGATTAGCCCATGTTTTCCATATCTTATCCCATGATCATTTGGCTATGGATCAATACCTGTTGATACCATTTTTAGTGGGATGAACATCCATTTACCAGCTATTTTGATGTTCACCAGGGGTACAAGGTTTTGACACATCACCATTTGCTAATGACTTACCACCTTCATCCTTCGGCCATCTTCGCCCCGTAACTTTGCCGATCCAGTCCCCACAGTCCCCGGGGTCTCCCGGCTCGGCGTCCAGCAGTGGGATGGACATGTCCAGGATGCGCCTGGGCTCAAGAAAAACTCTGCTGGAAAAGAACCATGATATGATGGGAAATCTGTCAGTAGATGATTATGATGATTTTCGGCTTTACTCGATATTGCACTGATTTCCGATGGCTCAGTCAAATTAACCTCAGCTAGCCACACCAGGCAATGGAAAATACCATCTTTGTATCCATTTTTGCAGATGTTCCCACTGAACCAGGAGATTTTGCAGCCAGCTATGTTTGATGATAAGAGGTCTACCAGCCACCCGACTGCAGCCAAAGTGACAACAGGAAGAGATCTAGTTCCGGGAGCGCCTGCGAGGAAAGCCAACTCTTTCAGCTGGGGTGTACCACATAGAAAAACTCATCCCTGGGGAAAGCAAAAAGATACAGGAAGTCCTACTTTGATGAGTAGCATTGAGTAACACCCACGCGAATTTCCGCTTTTTGCAGAGGAAAATCGGCAAAACATGCTGGAAATGTGGTTTCCTCGCTAGTCAGGGCCACCAACCTAGCAATGACCTCCTTGGGTGTCCAGTTCTGAAACATGATCAATATCTTAACATCAATCCAGCTAGTCAGTATTCTCTCTATAGATATAGCTAGTCAATATTCCCAGGAATACTTTGCTGGAATTACCGTAATGGGAGTCTTATATGGCTATATAATGCTACATACCCATAGGTATATTCCCATAGTTCATCCATAGTTCATCCAATTCCCAAAGGTTTCGAGGCCGTGCCTTGTAGTGTTTGCCAACTGTTCGAGTCAGGGCCACCACCATGCATTGCTTCACCACAGCCTCGGTTTCTGTCGAACATGCGGGTGATCTCCCAACAAAAAAAGAGTTGAATTTAAACGATTTGTTGATTCCAAGAAAACACTTCAGCCTTATTGATGTTGATATCATAAACTGATGTGGATGTAATTGCTTCGGAATCCCACATAACTGTAAATGTATACAATAACCCCACAAGCTTGGATTCAATATCCCAAATTGCTCTCATTTTGGTGGATTTCCATGCCGCTTGTCAGCAACACAGCAATGTTTGAGACGCCAGCTTGTGTGCGAGGAGTGTTGCAAGACCCAGCGGATACACAACTACCTTTTTCCTACTCTGGCTGCAAGTCAAGGACAAATCTATCTACACTGCATGCCTAACACTTACAGCACGCGTCAAGAGGAAAATCAACAGAACAGCTGTCCAGGTAGCTGTTGCACCACCTGCATCGGTGCTTACCTTCAAAGGGCACGCACCGAATTAGTTGCACGCTTGCAAAAAAGGCAGGCACTGCCAAGGAGTCCTGCCAATGCTGCTGAACGCCTATCAAACCCATTGAGGAATCTGAAAAACAACAAGGAAATCTTGAGGCCTGAGATAGCCATCCCAACCACTGCTGCATGAAAAAAAAACGCCCTCACGTTTGAGCTGTGGCGCCCTTGCGAATTATGCCACTTGGACCAGGTCATCTTGACGAATGTAATCACCAAGCTCAACCTCAGACAGCGTACCCGAAATGGGGCGAGGCCACAGCCGGCAAGATTGGAAGTCTACAGCTGTTCATTGGAGGAACACTAAAATCTCAGGGAAGTTCCAAAAAGAGTTGGGAACATCCATCCAAAAATACCATCCTGGAGATATGAAGGACTGGACTATACTCATAAAAGCTTGCTGTTACGCTTCATGCTCTCCACCCCATATTGACCGATTGACCTTTTTTCTGGCCTGGCCCTCTGCAGATGTACCAAGGAACGTTGCTGGCAGTCCTGCGCGTGAAAATCAGCAGGACGCAGCCGAGGAAAACAAGGGAAGCGAAAAGCCAAGTGACCTGCGAACGGCCGACGTCGGTCATGGATGATGATAGACGATGAGCCCATGATGCCTGATGGGAAACCGACCTGGGTTCATACTTGTTACCTTCACCCGTGAGGGCTGTGGGCGTTGTCTGAAGACATTTAAGAGTTGTTGACTCTGCTGCCACTTCTATCCACTTCTTTCTTAATTGAAGCCACCAGATCCACCAGATCCACCAGTCAATCAAGGATTTGTACTATATTTGTACTCTAAGTCTGATTCATCACCCATCAACAGCACATAACGACATAACAGCGCCATCAGCATTGAAACTGCCATGCGTATCCAATCGGGTCCACCTGGACATCGTTCCACTCCAAAAGCATCACCTCATGAGGAGAGGGGCGACCAAGGGGACAACAATATCCGAATGACTTCGACTTTCCTTCAAACATCATCTGGAACATTACAGTATACTTGATACTTTATAAGACTTTATACTCAAACATTACTCAAACATTGAAACTGGCGGAACCTGGTCATACCTCAACCCAGTGCCAAGGCGCAGCTTGATCCTTTGAAGTTTTCTCTGATTTCTTCTCCAAGGCTTTCTTGGCAGCTGCCTCACTGGCCTAGCACCAGACATCCCTAACGACGGCATAACGACTTGTATCTGTTTGCGGCAAGAAAGCGTCCCAGCCAGTGAGCTGTAAACAGCAGCAACGGGGCGAGGTTTGTTGATGCCTTCTTTATCTTTTGGACTTCGTCTTCGATGCCCTTCTCTTCCTGTGTCAATGTGTGAAGGGGAATTCTGGCTCTCTGTCTCTCTCTCTCTCTCATAGTGGTAGTGAACAATGTTTTTTATGCTGATCAAGGCAAAATCTAAAGATACACACAACTATCAAAATAGCTGGTAAATGAATTCGTGTCTTTGTCCCTCTAAAGATAGTGATAGTATTTATAGTTATTGAATGTTATTGATCCATACACAACTTGAGATCGCCAAGCTGATTTGTGAGGCTTAAGCATTTCCTTCTCATGGGCCTGGGTCCATCGGTCTTAAAGGCTGACCCTGCAGGTACAAGACCCCTCTATTCGTCACATGCCCACCTGTTATCCCACGAAAAGGTGGTTTTTTTTCTCAGCACAAGCCTCTTCATGTTTGACGTGCTGCCAAAAGTTAAAAGCCAGAGAATATGTTGGTGCCCCAAACGCACCCAAAACTGCACATTGCGTCAACATCATGTTGAGGGACCTCTTTCAATTCTCACACGTGTACCAGTGCAAGCTGACCCACGTCTGTGTGGGTCATTGGATTTGTCCTTGTTGACAAAATGGGACATACCACCCCCTAACCCTTAACCAACCGGCAAACATCCCATTTCGGGATACTCATAGATTCACTATGTATATACTAGATATCCGTCATGAGATACATGTTACGTCCCGTTCGAACTTTGACCCATCCATTCTCCCCAATGTTGGGTGTATGTTGTCAACCCTGGATGAAAGAAACCCTGGGCTGTCTAGTTAAGGGGCATCATTTTAGTAGCAAATAGTATCACTTTTTGGGGGGCGTACCCCCTGATTCATCAACAAGTATTTAATTAATCCGGGTTTCACATGATGTTTGAACCGTTCTTGTTTAACATCACTAACATCTGGGAAATATATCGGAAATATCATGTCTAGGATAAGCGGATAAGCGGATAGGTGGAAGAATATCACTATGACATCAGTCTCTCCATCTCAGGATTCCCAGATGTTTTCCTCTGCTTGGTCTTGGAGCTCCTTGTCTAAACGCTTACGTTTCTCCTGGGGCCGGAAATTTTCGGAAGATCACCGAAAAAGTTGGGATCCAATAGGCTAGGATCCATTGAAAATGGCTACATATCCAGGAAAAACGAGTACAGATGGCCAAAACAAAGCTGATATACTGGTGATAAGCAAAACCTCACCAAAAACTGAGATGTCGTGGGTATCAAACTGATAACATCTCTTCACTATGTCAAAGCTATGGCATCGGCTGCTTCACTGCTTCACCTCCAACTCCTGATGAAACTCATCGTGCTCTTTGCGGATCTCATCACGCGCCTCAAAAAAGACAGGTCACCAGCTTTATTGAAGGGAAAATCTACCGGAAACATTCGGAAACCATGGTGTTTGTCCCCAAATCTTGGAGGTGTCCTGTGAATGTTCCCATCATCCCATTTTTTTGGGATGGGAATCAGTCATGGAATGACGCGGAATCATCATCCATCTTCGAAGAATTCAAAGAGAATATCGCTTCGACATCGCTTCCCCAAGAAAATACCTAGAAATATGGTCAAATATGGATAAATATGGCAGAATATGGCAGAATGTACGGTTCCCTACAAAGTGGTTCTTTTCGTGGGCGTCATCCAAATGTGTCCCACACAGTCCCGCCTCTCGGCGTTTCTCTTCTGCTTCCTTGAGAATTGTGCAAGGACAAGCCGTGGCAGAGTCCACATGTGGGTACGGATCAACACCACACGAGGAAATGGAAGACTTGGAGCGGCCAAACTCTTGTGGGTTCGTAAGGGTCCCAAATTGTGAGCCATACGCATGTCTCTTCTTAACTTGTTCATCAAGGATCGAGTGTGGTTTCCCAGCAACGGCAGTTCATGATGTTCATGGCTCTGACAACATCTGAATCCAATCTGTTCCCAGCAGTTTTCGTATCATTTATGGATATCTATGGTACATCCCAGCAGTGAGCCACAACAGTTTCCACCATGTGATTCCACCAGCCCATCTGCCGGATTCCCATGGGATTCCCATGGGATTCCACAACGGCCAAGCCGCATCGGAAGCAAAGTGGATCAGGCTTTGAGGCCATGTCTCCTGGCACAGACCTGACGAGAAATCAAGCTTTCTTTCATCAGAAGCAGGGTTTTTACAACGAAAAATGACAAACTCTGAAACTCTTGGCCACTCCAATTAGATCTTTTATATTGGTTAAGAAACAAAAATTGACAAACTAAGACTATTGTTTATATATGTCAATTATATAACTATACTTGCATATATGTCATCTGTTCATTACATGACATCAATGACATCGTGAGGAATCACCATCCCAAGCCCAGCCTGATCTCCAGGTCTGCACCAGCAGGGCCAAAGTCCAGCAGAGCTGCATGCTTTGTACCGCTCGACTGAAATCGCTGATCCGAGACCCAAGCCAATGGCTGTCGGATCCAATCAACTGCTGAGGATATAATTAGATTGATCTTCCTATTTTGATGGTGAAATGTTGGTATGTTGCTAGTTTTTTCACTTCCCAAATCTTATGGTGTCATCCATATAATATCACATAATATGATATGTCAGTTGGAGTAGTAAAGTTGACTGGGAAATACGTTGCTTTCCACTTGAACTTGAGGGTCGAGAACCAGGCGCACACCTAAAATATGCTAAAATCATCTAAAAACATAAATCAGATCTTTGAAGGCGTTTTCAGCCTCAAGTCTTAGACTTCAGGAGCTTGGAATATTCCATGGGATCTTGGGATGTTCACGTACCAGGTCTATTGATGGTCCAACCGTTGGATGATGTTGGCCTGTTGAACCCGCTCCAAGGTCCCCCAGGTCCCCCAGGTCCCCCAGGTCCCCCAGGTCCCCCAACCGCTTCTTGGAACATCGACAGGGCCTTGGCACGTCACTGGGTGGAAAATCAAAATATGCTGGTGGTGCACCCGAAACAGTGGACCTTGGAGGGTAAAGCCGTAGAGCTCAATTATGCTCTGTTCCCTTTAACATGTGGACCCTCCCAAGGTCATGGCAACATACACCACAGGCCTCCAGCAAATCGGCCAGCAGTTCGTACTCACGCTGTGCCAGGATGCCGCAGAGACCCTGCTATGATCACATCTTGCCAGATACCCTCTGGTAAACTAACATAGCTATTGAAAATGGCCATTTATAATGGATTTACCCATTAAAAATGGTGATTTTCTATAGCTATGTTAAATTACCAGAGGGTAGGGAATGGATTCTTGGGGAGGATGCCTCTTTCTACCAGAGCTGCCACAAAATACCCAAAAAAGGCCTGGTTGGGGGATGACACAAGGGGCCAGGAAAGGATCTGATTGGGCCCTCCGACTATGGATGTCGATGATATTCAAAACAGTGGGGCCACAGCCACAGCGGGCATTGTTACAACCAGGCTTCGAAGATGATTTACATGTCAACAGCCCAAAATCCACAACTACAGGCGGCACACATCCTTGCCAGGTAAAACCTCTTGCCCAATTTCAGGATATGTGCATCATTTTGCAAAAACGTTCAACAGCCTCTGTAAATTCAAAGCATGGGCAATGGATGGAAATCCCCTCATTCGGATGTTCCCAGGAATCAGCCGTGTTCTTTTTTTCACAGAGGCTACCAAAATATCAAAATCTGTTATTCAGAAAAGTTCGAAAAACAAAACGTCCAAACATCAACATGACACATTGGACACATTGGACACCATGGTTGGGACCAACCTATTGGAGCTTCATCCCCGGTTCTGCCTTGGGACTGTCCATCAGCAGCGCCGTTTCCAAACCGATGGCCAGGCGCTTGAGCCCTGTGTGACTCAAGGCGCGCCTCAACGAGGATAGGATGGTGACGGATGGTGTGGGGTGGCATTGATGACATAAATCTGGCCTGGTTAGTAGAGATTCTGATGATCAATGGATTGTGATCATCCCCCGTTTTTTGAGTAGTAAAACATAGTAAAACTGTATAACTGTATAATCCATGATATGTAGTAATCAACCAACCAACCAACCAACCAACCAACCAATCAACCAACCAACCAACCATCCAACCAACCAACCAATGAATCAATCAATCAATCAATCAGTCAATCAATCAATCAATCAATCAATCCATCAACAGGCAACAGGGGTTTAGCTGCCACCGCTCAGGCAGCCACTGCTCAGATGAGACTTGATGAAGTGAAGGGATAGAGAATGCTTTGGCATCTTGTTGCCAAGAAACCATACCACCAATGGATTCACCTAGATCAACCAGTGATTACCCAATTATCATGATCAATAATGCTGGGTACTGTATACGAATCTAACCCAGCGATCAATGATGGGCTCGAAACAAACCATATCTATAGCAATATCCCAACAATGGGACATGATTCTTTCCCCAGTTGCACTCCGACCTTCTCTTCCCTCAACTGGTGATGACGGATGCTGCCAAGTGGCTCTTGCAGCAGCGCCACGAAGATTTTGAGGAAGCTCACAGCCTGACAAATCGAAGCACTTCATCTGAGATTCCTCTGTTGCAATGAATGCAAATCCGGGAAGAAAATCCAGAACTTTTGCTCCTTTCCCATCCTTTCCCATCCTTTCCCTTTGTCCAAGACCCAACCTGCTTGGGCCGCAAGCCTGTCTCTTCCACTGGGCTAATCCTGGATCCATCCCATGGAGATGACCCAGTGGATTTTGAAAGGTTGTCTTTGAAGATCTCCGCAGCCAAAATATGGGTTTGTCTGAAAATTGGGTATATTCCCAATGAAATAGCCATTTAATAGGGATAATGATCATTAACCATTGGGTTTAGGGGTACACTATTTTCAGACAAACCCATATGCCAAAATATGCCAAGAGTCATGCATCGCGTGAGCATCGCGCAGGAAAGCTCTGGATACCTAAAGCTCGGCGACAATATTGTCTTATCATCTTCCAATCTTCCAACAAAAAGCTCTCATCCTTTGGCACGTCATGCCGGAGGTTGACTAAGAGTAGGAGTGCATAGGAGTGCTGTTTCTTAACCAGAAATAGTTTCTGTCAGAGAAAAGTTTGACTAATTGCCTAGATTGGGTAACATGCATTACCAATATCTGCAAGTAATCTCCCTGGTTCATTCAGCCCAGATACTCTCGGTACTCTGCCAGAAGGATGTCGCACACAGCGGGGAACCGATGTAGACCAGCATAGAGACATACGTCGCCAATCCTTTGTCGCAGCTTCTTTTCTGCATGGTAAACCAACATGTTTCCAGTTGGACAACCTATGGAGGTTTCCAATCCATGGGGGTACCCCCAAATCATCCATGTTTATAGGATTTTCCATGAAAGAAACCATATTTTTATAGGATTTTCCATTATAAACCAACAATTTTCGGGAACTTCCCTACCTTCCATTTCAGGAAACCTCCATTTATGGCACCCTTCCCAGGTGACCAGTTTCTGGCCAAGCATCATCTGCTGCACGTCTTGGTTGGGCCAACTGATCATGAAGGGCACCAGCTGTGCCAAGATCTCTAGGTTGGAAGCTGTGTTCACATAGCCTCGTGGACAAAAACATACAAAGGAGCCTTGGAAATCCACCGCTACCAATCGGATTCATCATGGTTTGAATCTTATTTCTATACAGTACATGATGTGCATGGATAGACTATCTTAGATAGAGATAGACTGAATATGACTGAATAATATTGGATAGCCTATATACCAACATTGGATAATCTTAGATAATATAATATCTTAGATAGGTATATATCATTATATATATATATATCTTAGATAATCTTGAGGTATACCAACGATGGTCTCTTAGATCTCCATGCACTAACAGTCACCGGTGCGGGAACGTTTTGCCGGAGGTCCAACGAAGTGTTGAATCCAGCGCATCACCGCCATGGTTCTCCCTGCTGGTTTTCCATCACCAAAATCGTTTGGTACCAGCGAAAAGCCATGGTTAAACCCATGGTTCATATGGTTCAATACTTCATCATCTTCATCTTCATGATTTTTTTGCTCCAATCAAATTGCCATGACCTCTGCAGCCCAGCTTCTGGTGAAGATGCCCTGCGTCCAACAGTGCCAGAGGAACTTGGTAGTGACGTGCATGAACATGTCCGACAAAACCACCTGGATGGGATGCCGAGGGAAAATGGCTGCAGCTTGGGTTTGATCACCCAAGGCCAACCATGCCCTGATGGGGCAAATGGATCGATTTCACTTGGCAAAACACCGGCAAGGTGCAAGACTGGAATATGGTGAACTATGGTGAACTCTGGTGAACTTAACCTCACTGCTCTGTTGTATCTTGTAGCCTACTTAATGGGCAGCGTGCACTGATGAGCTTTGTGTCAGGTCACCTTCATCTTCTTGTGCATCTGAATCTGCTCCTGTAAGATCTTCAGGAAGCCTTGCCATGGGTACTGTCACAACAGGGTTCCACGGTCAAAGACTTGACAAGTGGGGTCCAACAAAACCAGTAGCAATGGAAACCCACTCCCTGTATCTCAACATACCCTATTCGCTCACCGATCCCCTACATCCTCAAGGCAAAACAAACGCCGAACTGGCTGGCACACCAAAACAGGAACTCAGCAACCTCCCAAGTCCCAGTCATTTTATTTCCAGTTGAAGCTATCTCTCAATCTCTCACCCTAAGGCCGGCCTTGCAAGGTGAAACGCTTGAAGGCATCGTCCAAGGCTTTGGCCACCTCTTCGCGATGTGGTTCAGCCTCCGGTGGAGGTGGATGATGCCTGTCGTGATCATCGCCTGCGACAAAGCACTGGAGGAACGTCGTATACGACCTCCAAAAAGCCATTGCTGATCTCCGATTTTCCGTAGCTCCAGGTATCCTCATCAAATCTCATCAAATCTCATCCACCCCCCTCCTTTCTGGGATCATCCTCCCAAAACATCCTCGACCTGCAAAGGTCCCGAAGGTCAACAGCTCCACCGCAGCGAAGTACAGGAACCTGACAAGTGCTGCACACGGATCCACTAAAACTTGGGGGGAACTGAAAATATGGAAGAAATATGTTTATAATGTGTGTATATATATATATATATTAGTATTATACATATATATGTATGTACATGCATGCGTATATTAATACCTATGTTATATGATGTTATATGTCTATGGCAATCTACATCTGTGCCAAGTTACCCATGGGGGGATCTTCAATGGGAGTGGCTTCAGGGCCTGACCCCAAGTATCGACTGTGGGCATTCGTTAAAATGCTATGACCCAAAAATCGGATGGTTATACAGTTTATACAGGTACTAAAGTTGCGAAAGTTGGTGGTCCTCAGTTCCTTTCTTTTGACCAGAAGCTCTTGTTGCCCTCTTCGTTCTTCCACTTCCTCAGCAAAAAGGTGTGGCGTCGTTGCGTAGATAAGCCCAAAGTTTGCGGATTCAAACCCGGACAGTTGACAAGTTGGCTGGTTTGATGGCTTCTTTTTGCCCTCTATATCTGTCATCTGTCCATCAAGATGCTCTTGGACCTGCTACGGATCAGAACCCATGCCACATCTCTGCCAGGCATCCGAGAGCTTCCGCGAGCTGGTGCCCATCATGGTGGTTGTCAACCTGCAGTGCCGTGGCTCAAAGATCTCAGGCCAAAAATATCTGAGTACCCAAACATACTACCCAAACCATCCAAGTTATCCTGACTCTCAGTATCTCTCAGTAGCGTTTCCAAAATATCATGGTTTTTCCCGCTAGATGGGGTTGAAACCTCAGTTGAGTTTTCAAAACTTTCAATGCCAGTGGACGTAGGTTCACCTTTGGCACCAGCTGCTGGATGTGTACCTTTTCTTCTGCTCCTTAGTCCACTGGCATCATGGGGGATGGATCAAGAGCAAATGGATCCTTGATGATCCAAGGATTTACCCTCTGGTAATTTAACATAGCTATTGAAAATGGCCATTTATAGTGGATTTACCCATTGAAAATGGTGATTTTCCATAGTTATGTTAGTTTACCAGAGGGTAATGGTGATTTATAGGGATAGCCAGAGGGTTTGGCTTTTCTTCTGTTTGTCTTTGGAAAAATACGGAGCAAAACAAAACCCAACCACGAACCGTTGTTCAATGGGGCTACCTTACGAGCATCACCCACCATGGCATCCAAACAGCCAGTCACTTCGAAACCGCCACCAAGATCTCTGATTCTGAGCCAAGGATCCGTTGGTACAGGCTGGAGGTTTTCCCAAGTCCACGTGCCGCCGGCGATCCAGGGATGGCCAGAAGCTTCTTGTAGGCCTCCAGGCGAAATCACCATCTCTTCCCATGAAAACTCTGGATTTCATTGGTTTCTTCGGTTGATTCACATGTATTCACCAACTGGATAAATTTCTATAATATATAATATATATATATATATGCATTTATATATATATATACATACATACATATTTATATATATATACATATATAAATACATAATAATACAAATACCATCATATACCCCACAAAAAGTCTCCCTCAAAAACACACAACGGGCGCCTCCGTCTGCTTCTTGGGCGCATTGGCAATGGCCTCACTGTGCTCCATCAGCGCGTCGTAGCGCTCCGCCGCCTTGGCTTCCTCCTCGGTGATCAGGCCATACCTCGGGACCACAACGACGGGACGACAACGGGGACACCGGGGATGGGTGGAGATCCCCCTTGTGGCTTAGAGGAAAATGGATCCATGGAGAAAATGGAGCGTGAATGATGTTTTAATGGGTAAACAACAACATCAACCAATCAAAGAACAATCAACGGAGATTTAATGAGGATGTTTCATGGGATAAAACCTAAAGAGATGGATCGATTAAGTCCGGAAGTGGCAAAATTTGATGGGTTGAATCGCTGCTGAAAACTGACCATCGCTTGTATGCATCTTTGGGAATGGTGAGCCACAACTCATCCACTTGTGCGCTGAGTTCAGGACCCTGTGTTTGTTGGTCCCAAACTAGGAGATGGTCCCGGTATACTGAATGAACTTGCATGGCAGTTGCCAACCCATCTTGCAACCACCGTAGTTATAGGAACTAGTGTTCAAGCGAGAAGACTGAAAAGGATGCTACACAGTCAAATTTCTCAAATTCTTAGCACTGGTTTGGAATTCCCCCCAAATCTCCCCCTGGCCATAAAAGGTGCTTCTGAAATGATTGAAATGATTGAAATGATGGTCATGAGTCAAAATGATCAACCATTTGCCCTCATGCAATGATATATGGATATATATATATATATGGAGATATATATATATTATATATATATAGATGGTCTGCGTTTCCCAAGTCGTCTCCAAGTCGCATGGCGCTCTCATATTTACTCTCCTCCTCCAGGTCCACTACGCAGGCCGTGGCCTGGCATCGCCGGCTGTTCCCCACATGTCATCCGGAAAAAATCAGGTCGTAGGAGACGTCCAAGCAAGCCGAGATACACCCAACATTCATTATATGATATACATATATATATATATGGATAGATGCATCAAAACTCTTGACACCCCAAAAAATCACTGACCTGATACTAAAAAAATCTTTAAAATCCACACAACACGCCCCAAAATTCATTTCGTGGGTCGCTTGTCACGGCCTGTTGATACATGGACTTCACCATGAGCTCCAAGAGCTGAGCGTTGCCATACATGGCCTCCCTCACCTCAGCGATATTTCTGCGGTTGTCATCCAGTGGGGAGTTCGAAAATAGGGCTACCCCCAAATCATCCATTTTTGTTTGGGATTTTCCATGAAACCAACCATTTTGGGGATACCCCATTTATGGAAACCACCCAACATTAGATGATTTTAGTATTGACAGCTATGTTTTTTTTTGGATCCTCCATTTCAGGAAACACCCAGTCGTGGCCACAGAATCAACAAATGAAGTGAAGGATGATCAGATCTGATTACATCATGATCATAGTTCAACATATGGATTGGGGATATTTTATGTTGATCATATGTTGGAATATGTGGGATATTGAGGGATGATCAAGTTACCAACAGACAATCATCTTATAATATTCCAACGTCTGATAACATCTGGTGGATGGAAGAAATCCTACACCAGTTGACAGATGGTTTATCCCATTATCTATAGGGTTTTAACCATCCTTTTGGTGGTGCGGGATTTCTTTCATCCACAGTATGGTGGTCAATACTCATGTGCGAAAGTTCTGGTAACATTCCAGTCTGATGGTGATCAACGCGAAGTGAAAAACTGGCTGCGGATACTCATCCCCAAGCCATCGATGATGGATGTTGGTTTTTTTTGCAGCCAGGATGGGATTGTCTAAGGTGTTGCAAAGGAACCGAGGAAGAATTAAGCCATGTGATGATAACTCACCCTTCTGCGAAGCAGGCAAGTTCTGCTTTTGCCCTTCTTTCTAGACCTTGTGTTTTCTCGAGTCTTATGGGATCTTGACTCCGAACTCGTTTGAAGATGGGTCCCTCCAAAAGTGCAGCTTCGATGGCCCAAAAATCCAACGCCTGGTCCCTCGGTGTGGAAACCCTGCTGCCCAGTTACACGATTTATCTCACAACCTTCACCTTAGCTGCAGGCACAATAAGACGGCTGTCCAGCTATCTGATCTCGGGGCAATAACACCAACAGAAAGAATCATGTCTTCTGATAATTATGCAGATTCCAGCGATCAACCAGCATCCGCCAACTACCAACTGCTCTTGCAACTCAGTGGCTGATGTATAGGATCACGGCCATGAAGAATGGCAAATCTGCCTCTTCAATGCAGGACACGAGGTGGATGATGCTCAGCATATCATCATCGTGCAGATCCTGCAGCTGTCGAAGGTCTTGTCTTCTTGCTTGATTTATTGAACACACAACAGGTTGATGGGCGAAAGAAGCAGAATTATGGGGGGGCTCCTGAAACGGGGATACCCCAATAGCTGGATGGTTTTTAAATGTTTTTAATGCAAAATCCTACTAAAGAGAAGCGCCTTGTGGATGTGCGAAGAGTTCCACAGGCAGTTGCGAACCGATGCCAGGAGCAACCTTCGAACCAGGCGTCGTTGCTTTTCATCTCCACCTACAGCCCATTCTGGGTGCTGGTGATGCTGAAGGTGATGTGGTCGAAAGGGAAACCAATCACTTTGGGGCACAGACTCAAGTGGTGCCGGAAAGAATGTGGATGACTTTTCCCCGAAACAGAAAACATCAGTTTTCAGCTGCTCGTTTTTTCCAATGCCATCCACATCAGCTCGCTGCTTCATCATCCAAGGCGCGGTGTAGGCTCGTACCGGGGCCAAGTTGTCGATATGCTTCGCAAATGGTGGAGATATGTCCAGGACACGTCAACAGGGCTTGGCTGCGCAACATGCTGATGTTGTGCACAATCACCACGCTATAGCGACATAAATGTGTTTCCTCAGCTCTTGACATGTCTTGACATGTCTTGACATGTCTTGACATGTCTTGACATGTCTTGACATGTCCTGACATCCCCAAACTTGGATGGGACCCCTGGGAAGTCTTCTCTGCATTGAAAAACCTGGCTATACATCATAGCAAACCCAAATCATGGATTCTTCCCCCTGTTCCCCTTGAAAAACGTCGAACTTCGATTGTCCCAACCCAAAGTCGTTGACCCCTCCGTTCAACACGCCCCAGTGACCAGCAGGTGATCCACGATGAACTTCAGCGCCTCGGCATCGCCCACCAAATCGTCCAGAACCTTTGGACGCCGGCTCCAGCCTGGCGTGGACACTTCTCCATCATCGCTGGAAAATTGATGTCCATCCAAATTTGTGGAATATCAAATATCATAGGTTGTAACCTATACCCACTATAGCCCATCAGGCTCAACATGGCTCAACTCACGGTTCTTTAAAAGGGCTTTTCAGCTTCCAGCCCGGGCTGCGCACCTGTCAGCAGCCGATAGTGCCAGATCTGCATCTTTGGATCCGGTACCCGGGTCAAGGCGTGGACAAAGGCAGCGTTATCCTTCACGACACTGGCGACGTTCACCTCAGGGCAAGCCAAACAACGACCACATGGGGATGTGGTTACCACAAAATATGAGTGATTTTTGGGGGGTGGATGATTGATTATCGGGTTGATAAGCATTCCCACACAAAATTGGCCATGTTTAAATCTCAAGTTTTTGCATCTCACCAACCAATTTTTCGGTGGATTGGTAATTTTGAGCCATTCAGATGTCACCTGGGAATTAAAAAAAAACTGGTCCAATGGCAAGCACCCCTTTTAGATGTTCATGGATACTCCCCGTGACCCAACAAGGCATGCTGCAGTGGAGTTTCCACCCAAATCTGCTGACCGGGTGGCAGTGGGAGTGCTTGCATCGGTGGCGTTCTGCGTGGAAATAATGGCACAACACACCGCTGCCATATCTTGGAGAGTCGTGTGTTCTTCGCGATGATCACCATATGCCTGAGATACGGTGGTCCGGACCGCTTGAAAGTGGAAGGGAATAGCGGATGCTGCAACCATTACTTCTCACCCTGAAGGCTTCATAATGTTCATATCTCTTCATCCCCAGGCAATCGGAATTGAAATCAGCCAGGTCTTTCCTATTGTGTGACTGTCCATGGCGCCAAAATTCTTAGAACCCAAATAGCTGGTCTAATTGGGCAACCATGACTGGCACACCCCAACATCACCAGAAAACACACCCGTTTCACCCAAGGTAAGGAACCACTTCCATCAAGTACTCCAGGAAGACCAAGCCCTTGAACGGGAAGGCTTGCTTCACCATCAAGTACAGCGTGTTCAAGATCCTCGACCAACTGGATGAATAGGCCACAGGGATGGGTAGAGAGACAGACCAACAAGGATTAGTTGCATCTCCAGATTCGTTGGTAATCAACATTTGCGAGTCGGTCAAAATTCACGGCACAATTTCTCTGCTTTTGATCACTATGGGCACCGCTCACCCGAATGTGACTTTGGACACAAGGTGCCGGGTGCTGCGACGAGGATCTGTTCATCTTCGAGTTGAGCATCAGATTTCACGCGGTGCATCTTGACAATGTGCCTCAGCGCGTTCCTACGTCCAACTTTGAGTGGGGGAGCAACAATGCGCAAGACGTAACAATAGAAATATCATAGACTCAATAGATCAAACACCTCCACACTGTCAAACCACAGAGCCAAGTGCCACTTTTTTCAGCGTGGCTCTCTCACCCCAGTTACCATTTTCAGGGTGCCACACCTCCAGTGGTAACCGGCCATCTTTGATCGGGGACAACCGCAGCGTCAGAGAAAAAGCTCGTCCAAGGGACAAGAAATTCTCGTAGTCGATGATGTCCACCTTCTCCCAATTCATATTCCTCAGCTGGGAAGCCCCAGTCTCGGGGAAGCCTATAGAAATTGGCTGTTTTGTGGAGCCCATTTGGGGAAGCCCCTCAGGGAAGCCGAAATGACATTGGCTGTTGTGTGGAGCCCATGGATCGGGATGATCCAGGGAGATCACCGGTGCAGAGGAGGCTCTGAAGGCTGTCAGTTCGCTTCAACAGAGTTTGGAGAATCACTAAAACATCATCAATGACCTTCCCGCGCTCTTCCTCCTGGGAGCGGATCATGATCTGTGTAACCAGTTTGGGGGGATGTAATGATTGTAATGAAGCTGCAACATCTTGCAAGCATCACATACATAATAAATCATAATAATATTACCCTCTGGTTGTTTAACATAGCCATGGAAAATCACAATGTTTAATAGGTAAACCATCTATAAATGGGCCATCTATACCATGGATATGTTAAATAACCAGAGGGTAATAATATTATATTAATAATCATACTAGCTGCTAGAAACGCTTGCTGCATGATACACCCCCGGGGCTGTCCCACCAGGACGCAGCCCCCAAAAAAAAAAAACATCCCTGGCGGTCCCGGTTGGGCAGTTGTCTGCGACCCGTGATCAACACCTTGGAGAACCTCACGTGGGGAAGCAGTGCTAAGCGGACAAGATGTCTGCTGCTTGGGTCTCAAAGTTCTACATTCCCTGGACAAGATATGGCGACTGAAAATAGGCTTTAGCGTTTATCATATTTTTCATCATCCCTACAAGAATGACCATAAATGGTGGTTTGCCATGGTATACCATGATATACCCCAGTACCAGACACCCTGCAAAAAGAGGACCGCAGGGCCTCATGGTCAGTGCGATCAAATAGGGCACATTGATGCCGGACCTTGGTGTTTTTGTGTGTTTTCGCATTGGTGATTCCACCAAAACTTGGAACTTGGCCATGAAACAACACGGGACTTCATCGAAAACGGGACTTGACGAAATGAGTGTATTCACAAAAGAAAAATGGTTGGTTGCCACATGTTGCCACTCATCCAAACAGTCCATCAGTCCTGCAAAGGGCATCATTGAAAGTGATGTCTGCAAGCAAGCAGATCTGCCAGGGCACTTGAAAACCTTCAACATGCTGGCAGCTGAATCACGTTCCTCTTTGGTGGCTGCATTGTCCCTCTTTTCTCTGACCTGGCATGGCTCACACCCAGCTAAGTGTGAGGTTGGAGACCACAAAGGTCAATAAATTTATGATTTTCTCCTGGATGCTACAAGCTGCTACCATCAAACTGCTCCTCTTTCTGGCAGCCCTGTGACTCCTCTTGCTGTCTCCCATGCCCGGCCTTCATTTCAGCAAGGCAACTTCCACAGGACCAGTTTCGCAGCAGTAGAATGAAAGATTGCAGCGTCTGGACGTAGAGTTTGTTATCTTCGATCTTATCCTTAGACCACTGACATCCACTGACATCTTCTGTGAAACTTCGGCGCAAGAGTTTCCATGCTGCGGCAAGCGGCAAATTTGGGATGATCTTCCCACTTTCGGAGGACAAGAATCTGAAAAATCGTAACCTGGAAAACCGGGCAGCCTAAAAGAACCCAACAAAAATCATTCTATCCCTCGAGATACTCAACCGGGACAAAGCGCTTCTTTATGTCAAGAGACTTCATCATGGAACCAGTACTCAAAGAGTTTGCTGACCTGAGGGCAGAAAGGCGTGTCCCCTTGAAGGATGCCTCACCGAAAATGGTGCAATGGTGATTGTCTCTAGCGCCAAGAGGAAAATTGCATGGCTGAGCTGTTTCTTGGAGGAGCATGTCAATCAGCCATGGGCAGAAATACTGATTGAACCAGGCACATCAAGCACGAATTTGTTGAATTTTGTTGATATTTCCCCTGACCAACAGATATTCCTTCAAGTTGGGGAAACTAGTTTTGCCTTAGCAACACTTTCTCAACAAACCTTCCCACAGAACCGAACCTTTTGTCAGCCACATGAAACCTCTACCGGAATTGCTTTCGCTGGCAAGCACTGGCAATTTGCAGAACACCAGCCCCTAATGGATCAAAATGGTGGAAACTACAACCCCTAATCAACCCCTAATCAGTGTTTCCTCCAAACATTTATATTTTTTCAAGTCAACCCAAGAGGACATCATTGATGTTCACCAATGTCCATTCATTATATCCCACTATGCCACGATGGTTGCTGAAATCTTCCACCTCGGAGATTCCACATATTTCTTTTGAATCACCATAGAAACCATCTTTCTCTTGAATTTCAATCAATCACCATGTCTAGGCTTAAACTCCTGGTTATGGTGAAAATTCCCCATTTTATGGTGAAAAATCCCCTGATTTTGGTGACCAACTCCAATTGATCTGCGTCCAATTGCGGTTTTCGTTGTAGCTGGGCACCTCCTCCAAGACATTGAGATGCTGCAGCTCGGCCGTGATGAAGTCCACTTCGAAGGCCAAGAGATTGCCTAAAACCACCAAGCCACCACATAAGCCCAAGCTGATAATTAGTTGATGAGCGAAAAAATAAATAAATGAACAAATTAAATAGATAGACAAATATGTACAAAGTAATACAAGGTAAGTAAATAAAAATTAATGGATAAAGTTTGTCCGTAAAGAAAACAATGAGAAATGATCGATGATTTCGCTGATTGTCACAATGAGTGCCATCATCTCGACAGAATCAGGACAGTGAAATGACCGATTCTTCACACCTCAGCTTATTGTCATCTAGACCTTATATAACTTATAGATATTTTGTATATTTTCTGCGAAGAAGCCAAATCTGAGGGACATCTATGTCAACACCAAAAAAGATCGAAGATTCCGCTGGGCGAAGCACAACTTCCATTCCGAGGTGCAAATGAAGCGTAAGGCATGGAGGGTCATAGTGTTGGCGACGTCTAAATCTTCAAAGGCTGGAATTGATTTCATCACCCGCACTACCCCTCGGAGCAAACCTTGGCATTTGAGGTCAGGAATGCAGTGCTTTTTCCATGCGTTTTCCCTGTCTCAGCATTTGTTTACTTGGGATAACATGGTGATTGTTTTATATCATCCTGCACGTGTGGCAAATCTGACTGTCGGTGTCCGCAATACGATGCAATCAACTGTCGGTTGCATCACTCAGTCCAGCTGCGATCCATGGTTTTTTATCGCTGGGAAAAACCTGTGCCGAACTACGTTCCACATCGCAAAAAGAACGTATAGCCTCAAACAATGCCATCAGTGGTGAACAGATCATCAGATTATCATCATGAACTGAAACCTCTGAAAATCATGAACTGATTATCATCAGATTATCATCATGAATCATAAACTAAAACCTCATTATTATCAGATTATCATCATGAAGCCTCTGAAAATCGCTCCAAGTCACGTGTCATCTCCTCAATGGGTAGATGCTTCCCCAGGCGCTTAGAGCTGGAAATCGCCAGCACCTTTCGCTCGTAGGCTGCGAAGTTGGCGACGCAAAGCATGCTGAGGCAGAGGGCGTACATGTCATCAGAACCTTGGAAAATGCTGGGCCATATGGGATGGTATTTTGCATGGAGATAATTCGACCTTGTAATGTGATATAAAGATAAATTGAGAAAAATTTAGAAAAAATCCACATGATGGTATGTGATAAAGAAAAATTCTAAATGCTCGATTCTTTCTGGCTTCGACGTATTCATCTCAAGCTTCGCCGAGTCTCGTTCCAGCTCCTCTGCCAGGAAGTTTCTGAGCTCGGTCTGACGCAAGGAGACCAGGCCGCCAAAGGGCAATCCTTGCCATGAAAACATGGCAGGGTCTCATGGGGATTTTAGATGATTTTTGTGGGATCTACAGTACTTCAGTATGTGTTTTCGGCTGAGATTGTTCTTGGGGATAATATGTCTGTATATGTCTGTATATCCACAAGAAAAAAATGGGGCTGTTGAAAGAAAGGGATGAATTCAATTTGTTGTGGGCACCACCCATGATTCGAAGTCGCTGAACGGCTTCAAAGTTGGGTTGGTTGCGTCAGGAGGTAAGGGTTGCAGTGGGTTTCGCAAAGCAAACCTGTTTGGCAAACAGCTCTCAGCAAAAAGCAGCACCTCTCCTGTTTTTCACCCAACCTGCGGAACACGGTGCTTGTACTGAGCACGAGTTGAATTGGTTCTTCGCTCATGCCAGGAATTTCAACCCGAGCCACGCCAAAAGCCCAAAGCCACCCATCACCACAACGGCTCGGAGGAAGTGCATTTTGTAGCAATGCCAAATGATGCCATCCATCATTTTGTTGATCTCCTCCTTGTCATTGACATTTGGGAAAGGTTCATCTGGCACAGGGACATTCAAGAATTTGCACAAAGGCTCCCAACCTTCCTTCACATCAAAGATCAAGAGCTTCTCCGGAGGCACAGTGGCCTTGACCCTTTCAATCCATGCCTTGAAGGACTTGATGGAACCCTCACGATCCGTACGCTCCACCCCAGGCAGCACGGTGGCCTTGTGAAAACACTTGGCGCACTCCTGGCACTCACGGCCAGCCTTGTAGATCCTCACGGCCCAATGCTGCTCCGGACAACGCCAGGACCAAATGGTGTTGATCACGCTGTCATACCACTTCTCGGGGTCTCGGACGGTCAACAAGACCTTGGCCTTTGGATAGGCTTGCATCAGTTCCTTGTACATGCCACAGGCGGGGTAATCCACCGTAGCCTTGTAGAACTTATCTCCATCCGGATGGGTGAAAATGGCCTTAAAATCCGGTTTGCCGTTGTAGGCTTCAACCCACTTGGCATGATCTGGCCTTTTACCGCATTCGAACATGTGGTAACAGGGTCCATCCAACAGCTTCTCCAGTGCCAGCTTCACGCTGTTGGTGCCGGTGCGACCCCAACCTGCACCAATGATCTGCAAATCGGGCTCACCCTCCAGCTCTTTCTTCAGGAGCCGCTCCGTCATGGTTGGAAGAACTAAAAGCTATCAACTTGCCGTAAAACAATGCGTGCTCTTACCACACGCCTTCGGCACACCTTGAGCCGATCGAAGGGAGCGAAGTTGAAGAAAACTTTGTCCCAGACGCAACGAAAACGTCCAACATGTGAAATGCCAGAAACGTTCATCAACTGGTCATGGGAGACTCGGGTCGCCCCATCCATAAGCCCCGCCGGTTTTTTTTCCGTGCCAAGTTTCGGATGGAGGGATCAATGGAGGGCTCCATGGACGAACTTTCGGTAGGCAAGGTGCCGGAAGGTTCTGCCATTCCATCCACTTCCGGCTCCTGAGAGGAGACAAAGGAAAAACATGGAGATGTAAGGCATTCTTGGTGGGAAACATCCAGCATTTTGAGGGGTTCTAAAGGTTTGGGGTACGAAAATGGTTGATTTTTACTGTCAATATTTAGACCTTCAGGTATGGAAACTGTCTGGTAGTTCCATCTTTTTGGAGCAAAGTAATATTCGTGATACTGGATACTCATCCAAGATATGCAAAATTATGATATTCATCCATTTAGAAAAGGCTAAACTTGGAAAATCCCAAAATTAAAATTCTGCACCGTTTCGGTGCCGAGGCGTGATAGTTTAGGAGCGGATGAGACGAATGGACCGATCTTGAACAGAGACACTGCTTTGAACTTTTTGGAGCAGTGCCTCTATTCAACTTTTTGGTTATTTGATGATATTTTGAGGATATTTTGATATATTTTATCTTCAATAGGACAATCAGATCCCGTACCAGGTCACTGTACCATTGATCTTCCAACTGCGCAGCGACCCACGGGGACTGAGGCCCACACCCGGGCAGCCAGGTCCTCCACGGTGTCCGGAACTTGACCACGACCACCGTCCACCTGGGGGGTCTGGTCAATGGGCGAAAATCGATGATTTTTGGAGGAAACACATCATTTTCATTCATTTTCATTCATTTTCATCATTTGGATGAAGGGAACTCTTCAAGAAACTACGAGTTTTTGATAGTTTTTGTGTGGTAAACAAATGTCAACAAAGCGCCGGTTCCTGCAGAGTTTCCGTCAACGGAACCAATAAATGAAAATTCATAGCAGCACGAAATGATGTGTTTTTTCCGAACAGGAATTGGGGAAGAATGGATAGATCACTGCTTGAAAACAGGAGCTGAGAAGCAAAAGACTGGTGGTCCCTGGCTGTGGGGATGGATCGAAAAACGCAAGAAACCACACATCAGATACGGACTGAGAAGCAGTGATAATTCATCAATTTCATATCTAAGCATCAGTCCTCAGCACCATCACCTTCCCCCTGTTTCCGGGGGGTCTGTGTCCCTAGGTTTGCCCAGTGTAGAGGCTTGATATTTGTACCAGTAGCTCGTGATGCATATGAAAAGCAGCGGAATGTCTGTCTGTATGGCCTGTTTCCACATCAGTGGCAGCTCTATCTTCCACACTTTTTGGCCCAGATACACCGATCACTGAATCTGCATCCCCATCGGAAGCTGCTGGTCCAACATCTGCACCAGGGATTCCGGGAGCGGAATCTGGCGGCGTCTCCACTCGCATCTCTGTCTTCTCTTCTTCTTCAAATTCCAAGGAAGCATCAGAAGGCCGTGCCTGTCAAACCAGGTTGGGACATAGTGACAGTGACTAAGTTGGAAAGCTCTTTGGACTCAAAATATCCACATATCTTGTGTGTGAAACATCCAAAAATGGGCTCCTCGAGAAAGCTAGATCTGCTGATTGTGGGGCGAAATGAGAGACCCACCCCTGCACACATGCACTGGGTTTCAGGGAGACCCCAAGTTTGAGAACCAAACCCAACTCTATCCAAACGTCGGGTCATTTGCAAGGTAACAACAACTTGAAAACCTGTGTGCCAGCTATTTGAGACCTGCCAAAATCTGACTAGGTTCTGGTTCATCCAGGTGGCTACTTGTATGGATCAGAAACCTGTCATAGCCCTTGTTTTCAAAGCAAAATTTCGTAGACGTACCTTCTACAAAATGGATCTTCATCCTTCACTCTTCAGATAAAAAATGTGTGGGAAAATCCAAGAAAATCTTAAATTGTACTTTTAACTCAACACCATTTAAGTCACAAATTTACCCAGTCCGCTGCCATAGCTATTGCCATCCCAGCCGCGAAGGGCGCGCACTCATAGCTGGCTGCACAGGCGAAGTAGCGTAGCGTCTCTGTGCGGATCGCAGAGGTCTCCTGGGGCTTCTCGGTTCTCTCGGCCCAAAGCCCAACAAAAATCGTCGGAGGTCCATCGTAGTTCGCCCACGATAAGATAAAGATGAGAATATCACCAAGAGATGGGAAGAGATAAGGTATCTACCTTATCCCCAGTTTTTACAATTTACAGTACACCCCTCAAAGTTGAGATAGACTTCAAGAATTGGAGCTCCATTGTTGGGATGTGCTGAAGCAATGGCACCGTCCCGCAGGTCACATGACACCCATGTGTCTCGATTCGCACCTTGTAACGTTTCACAATCTGCGGAAGCCAATTCATCACCTCTGCAGTTGTGCAGGTCGCACTTCAATTGCACTTCGGTGGATCATTCTCAGTATCAATTCCTCCAACTGGCATCAAAGCCTCCAAGAGTGATTTCCAATGGCAAGCCCACCTCTTGATGCATCGGAAGACGCTCCTGTGAGATCCATGCCCATGGTAGGAGCTTCCTCGGAGAGCAGTCCATGGCTTTGGAAATTTCTGCTAGTCTGAGCCAGCTATATCCATCAATGGATTTGGGGGTCCAAACCTTACCCAATGCCACATTCTAAGGGTAAACCAACAACCATCCCCCAACCTTCTATCACCAATTTGGGATCTCCATGCAAAGGTTCAGCAATTTCTTATTTTCTGAATGCATCAATCTATGAAAATCATAAAACAACCCAACATATCCCTCACCAACCTTCACCCAACCTTCACAACCCTTCAATGACCAGGTGTCGTGCTCACCTCTGGTGCTACATACATGGCCTGCACCAGAGTGTGCCGCAAGCAGACCTTGGTTGTTTTTGGTGGCTGGAAGCCACTGGATCAATGGATCCTTTCTAGAGTTTTTGCAGCTGATGAAGCTGGTACTTTGGCAGTATTCCCAAGGTCATCCAAGGTCTCTATATCTTCATCAGTCTTCATCGTTTTGCCCCAGACCACATGCAACAGACCCACAGCCCCACAGCTGGAGTGCAGAAAGAGGTGCGATCAAGTGCTCAAATATGAGACCCAGATCAAAGTCATCCATGTGTTGCGTCCTTGGACAAGGCTGGGGATTTCTCCACCTCATTCAGGCCCAAAACAATACCTGGCCTCTCAACGAAAACATTGTATAAATGTAAAATAATTGTACAATGATGTACAATGAGCAGGAAAAACAACACGGGCAGTTTCAAAAATGAACACAAAGCACATGAAAAATCGATTGCGAAAGCCCTTCTGTCACTGTCCGCCCTTTGCCAAGCTGCAGTGGACTGTCCGTAGGCCCTCCTTTCCTTAGCCAATCAGAGCCATCGAAAATTGCCATCCATTGCCCCAACGGCCCAACCAGCTCCATGAATCAGACCAGCATACCCTCCATGTGCCACAATAACATGTCCTATGATTCAGACTACGATCCACCCTCCGAGATGTTCTTATAGCCATTTATGATCCCTGGTGATCCCCGGCGATCCCCGATGGTGGTATATCTTACCCGTCTTACCCTCTTTCCAATGTTGCTGGCTCACTGTCACCTGTTGCTGAAATCCTCCTTGTTCATGGTCAAACTCTGCTTGCTGGTGCTGAGTACGGAATGGGGGAATGGGATGATTCTTAATAGTTACTATGGATCATTCCCCGATTCCCTATTAAGCACCAGAAAGTCCAAAGTCCACGTTTGCAAAACCTCCACACCCGCTGTTTTACCATAAATTGGTAGTAGAAACTAGTAGAAACCATCAAAAATGGGTGCTTTATTGTTTCTTTACTAACATTACTGCAGCTCCCCAGACCTGTCCACCAGGAGGCTTGGCACAAAGATCTCTTGGAGGCGGCCCTTTGCTTTCCCTCTGAAAGCGCTTCAGTGCCAGGTTAATGCCTCGGTGCTTTTCGAAGCGGATGGTCCAAACATGTCCAAACCAAATTCTGATGAAACTTTGACCAAATTTTGATGATTTTTTTGTTCAATTTTCATCAGAATCGCGTTTTTCCGGGATGGAAACTTTGCCTGTGGCTGACACCACCATGCCTTGGATTGGGAAGGAGACCCGAAAAGAAAGGCCCCAATCCCAGTCGAGGCACAAGCGTTCAAGACTTCAAAATACGCGGTGGAGCGCGTGACACGAAGGAAGGGGGACTCCAACCTCAGATGAAGTGTCGCAGGATCAATTTCAAAGGAAAATTGACAGGAAACTCCGGATTTGAACATGTATTTATATGATCTTATATATATATATGAAGTCCGGCAAGATTTCCCCCGAATCAACTCTGGGATTGGAAGGCCAGCCTTGAAATCAAATGTTCACCGCACCAATGTTAGGATTCCAGATGTCCGCCTCATGTGTCATTCAAAACCCGAAAAACAGCAGGGAGGGGCCATCATGGCCATCTCCCTATGGGTTCCAAACCTTCGATGGTTTGGCTTTTGGCCAGGCAACGGCTTGCAGGAAGCTTCTCGCAGCAGGGCGGTCAGGTAAAACAAGACGCGGATGTCCTGAATCGGTTGCAGGTGGTGGTCATGGTAAGAGGGTGGCGGAACAACTTAAAAATGGTTTCCATTTCAGAAATGATTTAGGTCTATTGAACCATTTTTGAGGTTTGGGGATCGTGACATTTCCCTCCAGTTTCCTAAAAAGACATCACCATCTTTCATCAGTTTCATCTTGCCAGGTGTCGGATGCCAACAAGTTGGCCAGGAAGGTGGATTTTCCCTTCTTGTCCATGGTATGGCCACCCAGCAACAACATCGCTTGCACCTTATCCAGGACCTGGTCGAAATGAGGTCCCCAGATCAGGGCAGAACTGCCGGAAAATTGGGAGGACGATTTCCAAGCAAGGGAACCGTTCACGAAACAGATCGAAAAAGAATAATCAATTAATAGTCATCATGGCTGAGCCAATGGTCGATTTTTGTCCAGTTGTTTGAAGGCTTCGTCCAGCAGCCCGGTCATCGGAAAGCGGCACCTGCATCAGTCCGTCCACAGCAGATTTCACCTCACTTTCTTTGAAACCTGCAACACAAATGCAGAAAGCTCGGGGCATCATGCCCATGCAGCCACTATGGCAGATGTTTAAAAGGGGCACAGCGACTTTAGGCAGGCCACGATTTCTTCCAATGTGGTGAGATTCAAACAAGACATCAGGCATCATCAGGCTTCCAGGTTCCGTCTCTGGGAGCCCAAGGAATAGAAGGTGCACCCGGCCTCCATTGGCCTTTTCCTTCGCTTCTTCTGGATCCTATCCCCCAGTGGATTAGTGAATTGGTTGCCGATTTCACTGTGGATGGCCCCATGACCCCCCGAAATTTCTTGAATTTCCGAGGCAGTCCTTGGTGTAGGCATGAGGTGGTCGGCCATGTCGGAACATGGTACACAGCAGCACCTGAGCGACTTCATTCAGGCGTTTCAACAGGGAAATCACTTCTCGAAAATGGCAAGTTTTGTACTCTTCAAAAATGGTTCTCCAATATTTATCAGTTTCCCCACCTGATTCCGAAGCAATGGAATTGTGGGTCAACAACAACCTTTTCCAGCATTAGCGCCGCGGCACATGGAGCAGGGCAACCAACTTGTTCATCAGCTCAGCCGCCGTGGTTTCCAACTTGTTGCCCTCCTTAGCCATGCTCAAGGCGAAGATCGACATCATCATCCCACCAAAACCATTCAAAACCCTTGGTTTGGTGGGTGGATCTGTACATTTTGAGGTCCAAACGAGTGGTTGTTGTGAGGGATGGGATTAGTAGCGGGGTAATCTCATGAAAACAGTCACTGTAGCATTGACCCTTCACTCACTCCGAGGTGCTCACACAATCACCCAGTTGCAGGCTGAATGGTGAATCAAAAATGGATCAATCATCTCCTTTGATCCCACCAATCTAATCATCAGTATGCAGATTGGGATAGCTACCCAGCTACCAACCATCTTTCCTGGGACGTCGCATGGAATCGCTGAGGATAAGACCAAGGCGTCAAAGCTGCTGACTGCATCCTCGAAGGAGTCCCTCAGCTGCTGTGGGCTGGCCATCAATGCTGATGGCCAAGAAACAAGTCTGGTTGGGTGGCATTTGGGGTCACAAATGGTGCTACTTGGGGCATCTTTTTTTGGGGCTCAATCCGAAATCCCAAGGTTTTCTGGGTTCACCGGGTTATGTCGGGTTTTCTGGTGCCCATTTCGGATGGCCAACTTCCACATGTTTTGACCTGGTGCAGCACAAGCGTCTGTAGATCCTTCAGCATTCCCAGCAGATCCAACTGCTCATAGGCGCCATGACAACAAGTGCGGGACACAGACACGGCCTGGGCCAGTCTGTCACATGGTGATTCTCATCTCATACGATGGCCATTTGGCGAGCTTCATCCCATCCCCCTACCGAAAAAAACACCCCTATGAATGGTCCCAAATATGTGTAGTTTTTGCATGGGAAAAAACAAACCACCAAACCATGAACCATGGTTTCTGGTGGGTGCTGAATATATTTAACATGAATGGATGGGATGATGGGATAATCGGATAGCCTGGCAGAGGATCGTCCGAGAGAAGTGTTCCACCAACGGTGCCAGCGGAGGATGGGTAGCTAAGGACTCCTGCAGGGCAAGATGGGCAAGATGGGGATGTTGGGGAAGAAAATGGTGATTGTTGGGAAATGAACCCAAAAACACGTTGTTCTTCACAATCCCTGGAAAATGGCAAGACAATAGATTGAGGATCTCCATCCTCAGATAGAGATATATATATACTGATATACTACATGCCGATACCCGCAAAGAAACAACGTCTAGATCGTTTTGCTGGGAAATGATCTCAGTATTTCTTAATCATGTTCTTCAAAAAAAAACAAAGGTTGATCCAACTCGGCGACTCATCGGTCTCCTTGACCTCTTGGATCAAGCGACGACGCACGGCAGCCTGGATGGCACAATGATCCAAAATCTCGTGCTGAGATGTGGAGAACCCATGGAGAACCCTAATCTGAGATATGGATATGTATGATATGCCGATATGGCAAATTTAGATCTAATGCATCTCTTTTCCGCTGGCAGGTGTTTTCATTTACTTGAGGACCAATCTATAGTCCAGTAATGTCCAGTATATCATCTATGAGATCTTTGATTTTCCCTCGCAACACCGATGTTCTTCTGTGATTCTCATTTGCTGGAGGGCTTTCCCCAACCACCCGCACTCCCGCGCGAACCTTCTCCGCCGTTTCCGAACCACCCAGACTCAAGCAACTTGACACAGCCATGATGTACCTGTGCCACCAGTTTTGCGGCAACACTGACAAGCTTGGATGACGTCTTTTTGGTCAGTTGAGCTGCTCAAAACCACGAAGATCCATCAAAATCATGGTCATCTTAAATCCACCAAAACAATCCAAAACACCTTTTTTTCCGGGATGAGTTCTTGGGATACTCAGGCTTGGTGCTCAAGGCAGGGCACTGCAAGCAGGCAACGCCTTCAATGCCAAATTCGTTCCTGGGAAACGTATGGCTTCTATGGGGCCTATGGGGTCTTCAGGGCTTGGTCCTGTACGAAATGATTACTGTAGATCAATCCCCGTCTGGAAGACAGGTAGGAGTACTTAGATCCCCAAAATGAAACCTGCCGAAGTGCGCAAGCGTTCGTTGCTTTTCTGTGGTCAACACCAAGCCCCAGCCAACAAAAATGATAAAAACGTGAGTTTAGAGTTCCATTGAGGATACTGAGGATTCGCAGGGTCCAATTGTTTTTGCATGTCAAACACTTCCTCCAAGCAGTTCGAATAAATTGGACAACGCCAGCATTTGACACATCCCAAACCCATCAACTTCCATCAACTTCCAGGAATCTCCAACCCAACTCCCAACTCAGCACAGCCAGATACAGCCAGGGCTCATGCACTGCGGCGCCACCAAGGAACATCGACTCAGGGCTCGCAAGGCCATGAGTCGAGAGGCCAAGGTTTCGGCCCTGGCAGCGATTTTTGTTGTGTCTGGAGCGTTCCAGAATTGGGATGATTTCCTGAAATTGGGAAGACACGCAAGTCTCAAAAATTGATTGTCTTTGTGAAATTGTATCTATTCATTGATTGAAGTTCCCTAGCATTGAGTAGGTATTCGTCAGCTTTCAAAGGGGTCCCGGATACTACGTATGATATTGCCGGGCTCTCTTGAGCTTAAATCACTACAGAAGTACGGAGGAGCCTGATGTAGAAAGAGTTCTGGTGAAAATAATAGAGGATCCAAAGGACATCTGAAATCATCTCAATAACAGAGGATCCACCGATCCACCATTGAAGCGCAGCAACATGGAACTTGGCAACCCACTCCAGCCTCGACGGCAAGACGCACAGCAACCGGAAGAGCTGCTCCTCGCCGTCGACAGCAAGGGTGGCACCCTTATAGCTGAGTTCCACTTCTCAATTTCTTCGAAACGACATCTATACATTGTTTTTTTCATGTTGGGATCTACAAGTCTTGTGGTACTAAAAACCCTGAAATACGGCGAGTCGATGTGTTCACAGCTGTGACTGGGCGCCCCGTCCTGGGCGATTTTCGCCAGTTCCGGATGGCAACAGCTTCGATCCAAGATGCAAACCAGGTATTCCACCTCCTCCTGGCGAAGGGATCGGCTTCCGCCATGCCAATGCTCCACCGAAGGGGAAGAAAATCACATCGAACGATGCTTTTGATGTGTTTAATGATGCTTTATGATGATGCTTTACAATGTTTGATGATGCCAAAATGTTGCTTGCGCTTGGGGTGTGGAACCACCCATCCAACGATTTTTTTGCCTACGGAAAAGGCAATGAGTCCGTCCTTCACTGGCGGTGCTTCTCCCACCGTTCCGAGCTTCTTCTCCATCCGCCGCAACACGCCCAAGAACCTCGTGCAAAGTGCAGCAGAGCCACACAGCTGGAGTCCCAAGAAATCCAAACAGGTCCGAAGCAACAAATGTCTGCCGGTTCCGCCGGCAAGTTTTTGTGGTTTTGGAGTTCCCCTTTCCTTTCTGAGGCGTCCACTGCTGACTTTTCATCAAGACTTGGCAACTGGCCTCGCAGAGGACGGGGGGATTGGAGGTGCCAACATGGTTTTTCTGGTTGGATGTTGAAGGTTGTTGAAGGGGCTGAGGCTGTTTTTCTTCAGTTGCAGTGTGCAGAATTCTTCACCCAGGTTTCCAGAGTGCTGAAAAATGAGGGAACGCTATTTCAACATATTTCAACCAAGTGTTCCCCTGGTCTTCCCAGTGATAAAGTGACAACATCTGAAACTGCTGCCTGGTTGGAGGCCATAGCACACAGCACCAGCATCACCGGGACACGCAAGGTGGCGGTGGGCAGCTCCAACCTGGGCACACCGTTTCCCATCATCCCCTTCTGGGGCCTGGTTGAGGGGGTCCCACATCATCCACAGAAAAGAAAAACAGGTAGTACAACAACCAGCCATTACCATCAAAAGTATATCAACAATATGAAAAACCATCAATGATAATAGAGTTCAATTACCATCAATGACCATCAACTGTTATCAACCACCAATAATACGTTTAATGTCCATAGAACTTCCATCAACCAGCGATATCGCGCATCCACCAGGCCATTCCAAGCCAAGCTGCAACGCCACCAGAGGGGCCTTCAGGTGCAAAGCGCTCATGGCCTGGCAATTTCAACCCACCGGCAAGCGATTTAAGCACTGGAAACTGTGGCCTGCTGAGGCGTCAGTCAAATCATGTTGATTCGGCCATTTTTAGGGGTTGCTGTCAGTTTCCAGCACAGGTGATGAATCTCAAACTTGGACGCACCACCCCAGAAAGCCACCCAGTCTCAGTGCTAAGCCTGAAATCCAAAATGGATGCTGGCTGAAATATGGGGATAAATTAATAGCCATAAGACTTATAAGACAAATACTTGGGTGGATGAAGATCCACCAATTCCAGCTATCAATTGATGTTCACCATTGTTCACCTGTTCACCAGGCTTTTGACCCACAGATCCCCAGCATGTCTCACCCATTGGGTCCCCCGCAGACAGGCCGTGTTCATTGGCAACCAAGGCTGTGAGCAGCTGCGCGATGATCCTGGCCACGGTTTTATTGGACCTGCTTCCTCGTCAATGGGGCTTCAAGTTCTATACGAAAAGGGAAGCCAATGGATTGAGCAAATTTGCATAAAATTTGCACCAGGCGCCAATTCCATCCATACTTTTCGAATCGTTCAAGCAACTTTAGGTTTTTTAGGTCCTTTAGGTCATGTCCCAGTCCACCAAACATCACATGATATCCACATAGGGCCCCCCAGTTTCGAGGGGTGTCCTAAACGATGCATCAGCTCGAGCCACTTCATCTGCTGAGGGCCGATGTTGACCTCTACCGATGGAGCATCAAGATCTTCGACCCTGACTTTTGAGTCTGAAAAATCTGGGGGTCCAGAATCCAAAAAAAACAAAAAAATGTCAGATCAGTCAACTCGATGAGTTTCGGCGGTTTCTTCGGCTTGTGGCTGCTATCCTGGGGCCGGACCAGGTGGTAAGGGCGGCAAATCTTCACTGCTGCGCATCTGCCAAGCCCTCTCGGCTTCCAAGTCCTGTGGCCGTGTCTTGGCAGCTTTTCCACGGCAAGTTGGGAAAGGATAGGAAAATATCACTCAAAAATCTGCACAAAGATTTGCTCAATCGTTTCATTGCTTGTAGGTGTTGTTCTAAAAATTACGACTTCCATCAATGTTTGAAGGCTTTTTCGGCCATGGCAGGTGTCCCCCTTCTCAGCTGTGTCCGTGGCAGCTCGCTCCTCGGTGAGTTTGTGGCCACCCGCCAAGTCGTTCCATCGCTTGTAGCTGGCACTCAACTCCTGGAATTTTCGTCCCCTCAGGTGACTGTGGGCCATGTGGGCCACCAATGATCTGATGTGATCCGATGTGATCAGAACAGATGTGGGCCACCTTCATGTTGTTCCTTCATGTTCCTTCATGGTGAGGACATCAGATTGAAGATGATTGGTGTTCAATCAGCCAGAACCAACTGAAGATATCTTCCAGCTATCTTCTAGTCGACTCTGCTTGCGCCCCGCGACCGAGCTCCTCCAATCTGTGTGCAATGCATCCCAGCACGTCTTCAGCCACGAGCGCTACCACCATGGATGAATCCACCTACCACCCAGGAGTTCAAGTCATCTTTTTCTGGTTGAAGGAGTGTCCCCATTCAGAACATCTGTATCAAAATCTATCAACGATATGCTTGGATTCTCTATCTGGCTGGAAGCACCATCCGCATTTTCCTGCCGAAATCCTCAAAGTTCTCCAATATGTTGAGCCAAAAATGCTTATCTCATCCCCATTTCTGCCCAAATCCCGCATCATTTCACAGCCTCCACTGCAAAGAGCACCATGTGCAGCATGGCATCCAGCGAATCCGCTGCCGACCTCCTGGTCGCTTCATCCATGTCCGACCTGGAAGGAGCAAAAATGGTAGGTTTTGGTACCTGAAAACCATAGGAAAACCCAAATTCTTGGCTAATTGATCCCCAGATGATGGCCATGTCATAGGAAAACCCATCGGAAAATGGTGGGAATTATCTAAAAATTGAGGTTGCCTCAAGTTTTGGGGGATCCACCAACTCCCCTGGTCTATCACTAGTTTTTCTCTCAGAAAAAGTTGCCATTTTAAGGGCCAAACTTAGAGCCTCCCAGAGAAGTTGACATCAAGTGGTTTGATGCTTTCGGGATGCGACTTAGAGTTTCGTGGATTGGTCTCTTGCTCCATGGACTTGTGGGGAAGTGACACCACAGCGGCACAGAAATCTCTGGCGTCTGAGTTTCCGACTCTAAGAACTTCTTCCCATGGACCTTGAACCATCCCACCTTGCGCCGGAGGAAGCCGCGTGACGTTGCGAAAAACAGCTTTATCAGCTTTACAAAAAACACAAAACGGATTGGCCCCCCCAAAAAAAAACTCTATACATCTCTATGCAATCCTGTCGCAGGCTGCAAGATCTCGCGGCAAGCTCATAAAATCGTCCATGATCTATTTGGATGATGCGTCCCGTACTGAAGCGCCTATGTTTGATGTACACCTTTTTGGGAGCACGCAATCCTTTCGGCACTGATGCATTGCTTGATTTTGGGTCCCCAGTCTTCATTGATGTGGCTTGTTTCAGCCAAGTCGCTAGACGTTCACCGACGCCCAACCCTCGCCAACGCGTCCACAAGTTTCCTGCATACAGCGGATGCCATTGGACCGAGGCTGCAAAAGATCGAGGACTAATTTACAAACCTACACCTATGAAATGTTGGGTCATTCTGAAGTTCGATGGCTCCAAGGCCTAGACATTGGGACTTGAACGAGAAATTCGCCCAAATTTCAACTGCCAGGAATCCAGGCCCAGCCTGAGATGGAGGACTGCAACAGCCCTGCAATGAGGTCTGCTGCCACCTTGTGGAGCTCCGGAGGTTTGCGGCCATCCACCAACAGCTCCATCAAGTAACGATCCAAATCCTTAGGAAATGCCCCAAGGAAATTGCCACCTGTTGTGAAGCAACTGAGAAAACTTGAGTTTGTGGAGAATTTATGGATAAATTGTAGAAAAGTGTGGATTATTTGGCTGAAACTTGGAGGATTTTGATGAATTATGGATGAAATTTGATGATGTTGGGCCATCTTTCAGCCAATCTGACGCTAGATCGCTAGATCGCTATTGAATCAAAACTTGGCGAATCCATGCACTGAACCTGCTGAGGAATTCAGAATGTGTCGGGCCGTAGGGCAACTTCTCAGTCACAGACGTTTCAAAATGAAAAGCTTGGGAGGTAACCTGTGCTCTCTCAATCTTTTCCCCGGCACTCTTCGAGGAACAAGTCTAGCTACGCCGCTGTAAGTGTTAACAATCCACATTGTTATAAAATAACAATGGGTCAGAAAGAGGTTGGGTATCACAGATAACCCTTACACTCTTTAGATAGTTAGGGTCAAAGAACATCTTTGGACACCTACCAAACCCACACCAAACAAACGTAAAGGAGGGGGCTGGAAACCCAACAAAGCCCCCCCCCCATCACCCCGCAGAGGGGATCAGGGAGAGGAGGGAGGGAGAAAAACCAGCAGAGGGGACAGGCTGGATGGCTTGAGCCAAAATGGTTCAAGACATCCAGCTGTCCCCCTAACTTTTCAAATCACATGAAGACCCTTCCCAACCAACCTACTCACATGTAAGATAAGAAAAGCTTGGGAGGTAACCTGTGCTCTCTCAATCTTTTCCCCGGCACTCTTCGAGGAACAAGACTAGCTACGCCGCTGTAAGTGTTAACAGTCCACATTGTTATAAAATAACAATGGGTCAGAAAGAGGTTGGGTATCACAGATAACCCTTACACTCTTTAGATAGTTAGGGTCAAAGAACATCTTTGGACACCTACCAAACCCATCGTTAATATCCTCACCCACTGTTAACACTACCTATCGGCGCAGCTAACTGGGCTAAGAACGTGGCCGGATCGCTAAGAAGAGGGAAAGAAAACTCTTGGACGTGCCACGGTTGCGTGGCAGTCCATTCATCTAACAACCCGAGCCTCGACAAGCCGTCAGCGGGATTGGAGGCCGAGTCGATCCATTCAATCCAGGTCCTCATGCGAAGGTCATTGAACTGAAGGTGAGCCTGCTGGACCAGGATCAGGACATCGGGTTCGGCCGTAGAAGCGCGGATCAAAGCGCTGACAGCGGATTCGTTGTCAAAGAACCACCGGACATCTGCATTGCAGAGAACTGTGGGACACAGCGCTGGGACCACCACAGCTGCTAACGTCTCTCCTGGATAAATCTGCTGAGTCCGTGGCTTCCAGTGGGCAATAACCGATGGGGGAACAACACTGGTTCCACCCACCGGCACTGAGGTCGGAGGGAAAATGACCCAGCCCAACCGGAGGACACCTTCCTCGAAAGACGCATCAGAATAGACGCGGGTCACCTGGGCACATTGAATGTGAACTGGAATGTCACGGGGCTTGGAACGAAGCACTGCCAAACGAAGAACTTCAAGCTGGCGTCGCTCATCAGGTTGGAGAAGCGAGCTGTCACCGAATTGGTGGGCAGTCAGTGCCGGACCAGCAAGCTTGCCTAGATGGCCTGAACACATAGTGAACAGCCAGGTGACGTCGCCCCGAAGTTTGCCAGCATCATCGCGCGAAAGCTGGCCAGAACTCAAAATTTGATCTAATCTGGCTAAGACCTTGCTGACAGTAGTGGCTTTGGGTTGCACTCGAACCACACCTCGATCATTGACATCACCTGTGTGAACGGAGGTGCCCAAGTAATGGCGATTGGGTGTCGGTTTGAAGCCTTTCTCCGGCTGAGGAGGGGCACCCATAAGTTGGAACACGAGCCGTAGGCCAACCTGAGAAACATCAGCGTCTGCAACAGCTTCCAAGGCAAGCTCATCGTCGAAATAGGCTGCCCCCATACTGAGCACACAGCGCCTGGCTATGGCGATGCCAAGTTGAGGGAAGCGGTTGAAAGAGACGACCGCACTCTCAAGGCCAAATGCAAGGCCCCAGAGCACTGTAAACCTCCATCCACAGTCCGGGACTAAGATGGCCACGATGGAGAATCGCTGGTGCGGCTCGCACACTGGTAGGCCCCTGTAAGCGTCAGGCAGGTCATCAGTCCCCAAACGGAGTCGGAGCCAATCTGGCACGGTGCCGGTGGAGGTATGTGTTGTGAGGCGCTTGCACAAGGAGGCGGCCACGGCAGCCACAAAGTCAATGCTGACAGTGAAGATAGTCTCCTGCATACTTGTATGGGCGTTGTGGTGAGTACGCCTGCCATTGTCAATCATCCTCTTCTTGTTGTCAGCCTGAACGATCTGAAAACGTTCCAACGGCCTCCAGGCATTCGGGCCGAACATGCGGTCCATGGCAGCTCGCGTGTATAAGGGAGAACAGAATCCCTTCTGCTGTTCTGCCAGGGTCTGCTCAAGGATGTCCGCAGCATGCCGAGGGGGCCTGCTCTGCACCAACGCATCCACAATGGCTCCAGCATCCACAAGCCATTTGTCCAGCGGCTCGACTTCCTTAGCTGCGATAGGCCGGAATAGGCCAGATGGTTCGATCTCCCCCACAATAGGGTAACCAGTCACCAAACACTGGCCTTGAGTCAAGTCGGGCCAGCGCAGCAAGATGGTCATCGCCGCGATGAAGGCAGGGCGTTTCGTCGCTGCGACCCGGCGAGCGCTCTCAGAGCGCCACTGGGCGAGCGCATCCTCGACAGGACTGAGAGCCAGAGCGACGGACTTCAACACCTGTCGCAAGCGCCTGGCATATGCTGGGAGATACTGGCGCCAGACACAAAGAGCATCGACCACAAACATCACGTCCTGCTCGGGCCAATCGGTCGGTCGAAAGGGCGAGGGCAGCTGGGAGGAGGCTTCCATGTGACCCAGCTTGCCCAGGCCAGGTGCCAAAAGGTGATCCAAACCTTTGGATGAATCGGCCGCATGCCGCTGGCCAGTCAGGCCACTGTAAACTCTGGCCCGATCCATCCGAGTCATGTGCTGTGGGCCCATGTCATCCACCGGCAGGCCTCGGATCTTGCACCATGCCATGTAACCTTGGAGCTCGGTTAGCTCACAGTGCTCCAATCTCCTCATAACGTCGGCGACGAGGCCTGGAGACAACACACAGTGTGGAAACAGGCCTGGTAGCTCGTTTGCAACATCAGAAGCCGACACCAGCTGGGGAAAGTGCCGTAAGCGGCCGGGCTCCCAGACCGTGTGCTGTACTCGTTCATGGAGGGACAATTCATCAGCGGACATCAAGTGTGGCACGACCTTAGCCTCGAGCAACTGAGGGAGGAAGCACAGGACGGCCAGCACAGAGAAGACATGAAATCCATTGCCAATAAGGCTGTTCTGTCGCTGTCGTTTCAATGGTGCGTCACCAGGTACAGAATCAAAACTACCTGGGGGAACGCCCATCATTTGGGCACGTTCAGATGGCACACTGCTGGTCCTTCCACAACAAGGAGCGCTCCTCGTACGCCGAGGGAGGAAACTGCCGGGCATCTGAGAGGAAGCGTTCCACCGCTGCAGCTGACGAACTCGCCGTCCGGTCAGTGGGATGGAAGAATTCCCTCGTGAAAGGATGCATCGCGCCCGAGCCCCCAGATTTGACCACTGTCTTGGGGTCCAGCAAAGGTCCAAAGCCCTGGTGAAAGAAGCATTTGTTGGGGAGCGGTTTCTCGCCCACATAGGCCAATGAAGGCACTCCACTATCTTGTGGGACCCAGTCCCAACAAGACGGCGGTGCGAGGCACGGGGCGATGGATCTGCTCGTAGAAACCAACCAGTACAGGCGACGGCGTTGCACCCAACCACAAGTAGCGCTATCAATCAAGATAGGGTCGCCACCAAGCCATGAGCTGTAAGCCCTCCTGACATCTGAAGGCATGCTGCCAACGTTTTCCAAGAACACCACAAGCTCTCGATCCCCCATCTCGGGGAGGGCTAAAAATTCGTCTCGAAGTCGCCTCAGTTCCAAAGGTTGGCAACTCCTGGGATCATCCAGACCTTTCCGGCCCACATTCAGAGAGGAGTTACCTTGGCAAGGGCTGCCACCACCCATCAAGACGCCACGTATGGCTGAAAGGCTTGGGCCGTGAGGGCTTCAACCCGCTCCACATGGACAATGTTGGGCATGTTCTCATGAGCTACTCGGCGGGCATCGGCATCACACTCGGCTGCCGCTGCAAAGAAGTGCATGCCCAGCTGCAACAAAGCCACACACAAACCTGAGTATCCGGCCCACAAGTCCAGGACCAGCCAAGTGCCGCGAGGTGGCGAGGTCCAGGGCACCTGGGCCAAATCGCCCCGACCACGCCAAGTGACTGGCTTAGCCCCATGCAAGCGCTGGCTCAGCTCAGCCGGCAAAACTGCCGAGGTTGTCCCCGGCTCATCATGCAACAAAACTGTTCGATGCGGCTCCCAGGACTCAGCAAGGGGCTTGTCCTGGGGCTGTGGCTCAGAGGGGGCCGTCATCCCAGCCTGAGGTGCTGCAGGAGCATGTGAAGGTTCAACTGCTGTCGAAGGCAAAGGACGACCCCCCCGGGACCCAGTCCCTAGGGGGTGCTGTCCCTAGGAAGCGTGATGCTCAAGCCTCGTGTGCTTCTTGCTCAAGCACGGGCCCCCTTCATCCATGCGCACATCGCAGCAGTGCAAGGCTTGGCACTTCGGGTCAGTGCATCCTCTGCCATCGTTCCAAGGTTTGCAGATCTTTTGGCCTCCTTTGACTTGGCTCACCGTGCGAAAGGAGTCGCCCTTGACCTGTCTCTTCCGGTCAGTGGTCGGCGCCGGTGGTTCAGGGGGCCTCTTGCTCTGCTTTGACTCAGGAACCTCGGCTAAGGGCTGCACGGCAGGCGACCTCCATTCAAGGTGCGTATCACGCAAGGCGCTGTCCAAAGCCCATTGCCCAGGCTGGCCACGCCTGATGTAAGTGGCCATTTTTCCCCTGGTCAGGGAGTCGTTGCGTTGCAACCAAAGCGGGCTGCCTCCACCGAATTCCATGGTGTCCTTGAGGGCCCTGTCGCAGTAGTGCAAGGCGCAGGACAGATCCATGAAGAGGACGCTCTGTTTGTCCACCTGCACCAAATAGTTCCCGGCCCAGGCCCACGCATGAGCCAAAACACGCATGGCAAAGTAGTAGTCTGTCACTGAGCGGAGGCTCACAGAGACCTCCTTCTCCAGCTGCAGTTGCAGACCACCAGGCAAAGCGATCGAGTCACTGTGCTTCGGTTGGGCCATGGTGAGCACCGACCGAACCTTTTTCATGTCAACGACCGTCATGGTGCCCTTCTTGAACTCACGATAGACGCGGGCTCGAAGCTGCTCGGAGGGCTCAAGCACGGAGTCAAACTGCAAATTGTATCGACGCGTCCAATCCGTGTTCAACTGCTGCACTGTGCTGTCAGGGAGAGCCTCATCAAGGTCCTCAGTTTTCGGGGCCGATTGAGCCGCATGCTTAAGGGCCTGTTGGCCTGCTTCATAAGCGCTCTTGAACCGCGCTTCCGCTATGCGGTTGTCCTTCAATTCAGGGACTTGGGACAGCAAGTCACCCAGTGACTGCTCCCAGTCGCTGGCCTTGACCATGTAAATGAAGTCATCCAAGGTCAGAACCTGGTGGACCTTCGTGTAGGCGGCCGTCCAGTCAGGCTTGAGGTTCGCCCCAGCCCAACATGCTGCAAGCCCTTTGTCGTGCTGGTGCACGTCAATGCGCGACATGGTGAACGTCGGAGCTCGGGCCACAAAATTGCTAGTGGTAACAAGCACATCAACCTGGCAAGCGGGCATGAAGTGCAACTGACTCCCCCCAAACCCTACTTAACCAGAGATTCAAAAGGAAAATGGGGGGTGACGCCAACACACTGCACACATCAAAGAGGTGGCAGGCGCTGACTTTTTCAACCCGTCATCTGTCAATGGAGCCATTGGCAATGCTCAGCCAAGGCCAAATATAGTCCCCTAGGGAGACGCCCAAGACAGCGCTGGCATATGTCAGCCCTCGGCGTCAACGTGAAGCCCCGTCCACGCTCGGCTGGGTCCTGCCTGAAGGCAAAGTCACGGCACCACGGAACTGCACGGCCTTCCACTTCTTCTCGAACGAGGTGCACCTTCTTGCCCTGCCGGAGCCAGCTAAGGTCCTCTGGGGCGCTGCTGTCTGCCAGTACGCCGCACAAGTCCTGGGCGTCAGCAGATTCATCCGAAGCAGAACTGGACTCGTCGGTCGAAGCCTCTGAGCTCGAAGATGCTGTGGCTTTCAGGGGCAACTCAACTGCCTGCTCCGTCTCAGGCTTCTCCACGCCATCCAGACCACCAGGGTCGACTTCGATTGCGCCCAAGGTAGCAGTCTGGGCCAGCGGCGTCAACTCTTCAGGCAAGCTCTGATGGAGAGCTGCTACTTCCGCCCATTGCCAGGCGTCTCGACACAGGTATCCCTGCTCTGTCATGGCGAGCTCGGGTCGCTTGCGATGGTACAAGGCCAGCAGGCGGTCGACACAACGCTGCTTGACTTGGAGCGACCGAAGCACTTTGGAGCCAGCATAGTGGACACCCATTGGCAAGACCCCTCGGGGCTTCCTTGCAGAGGGGTCCCGGCCACCTCCTGCAGGGAGCTCAGTCCAGTTGCCAATGGACTGAAGGTCCAAGTCTGGCAGCTCCATCACATTCGCCATCGTCGGCATGAAACGCCTGAGCTTGTTGAACGTTGCAGCTTGGGCTTGGGCAAAGTCAACACCCACCTGCACCAGGGCACCCCGCATCACTTCTAAAAAGCGTGCCCGGGACATCGGCTTGTTGGTGATGAACGGCGTCGCCTCTGTGATCTCCCAGAGATCCTCGGCTTCGAGGGCAAGCGCTGGCAGGAGGAACTTGTGATCCTGGTTGAACTCGTGGGTGAAGAACTCTTGCAGCACCTTTGTCATGTGCTGTCCATTCATCGTCACCTGTGGGACTCCCCAGTGGTACCCAGGGCGAGCTCCTTGCTTTCTCGCTTTGCCCTGCGAGCATTCAAATTCCACCCAAGCACCATGAAGTCGCACCAGGTGGGATCTCTGCACATGTTCGAAACGAATGCAGCCCGTCGCCACCATCAGGATGAAGGCCACCAAAACCTTGTGAGAACCCTGCACACGGGTCATAAGGATGGCCAAGTTGATGAACTCCCAGGGTTCAAGTTCAGGTGCTTGTTTGCCAGTATGGTGGACGGCATGGAATCGGTAGTGCTTCACCGCCCAGTGCTCCATGCTGAAGGCCGCTCCAAAGTTGTCGGCGAACCAACGCAGCGAAGCATGCATGCTGGCGGCTGCAGTAGGTCCACCTGAAGATACCTCCCTCAAGAAGTCGGCAATGACCAATGGGCCAGGCTGTCGCGCGTCATGGGCATGGGCAGCGCAGTACTTCAGCCATCTCTTCAATGCCGAGGATAGGGCCCCCAGTCTCTGCCCAGAGAGCCTGGAGGCCCCTGTCATGAGGGTGTTCTTGAAGGCTTGACGAGCCATGGGGTCCGCCAGCTTGGCTGGAGTCATCTGCAGCTCAGCCAGGTCCACCACGTTTTCAACCACTAGGACAAAAAGCTGGTCCAACTTCGCCTGCTTCATGGCGTCCTCCCTCGCGAAGGCGTCCACTGTAGCAGCATGCGTCACCATCGGTGCATGCAAAGGCGCCTGAAGGCCAGACGGTGTAAGCTTCCGGACCTTGTTGGACGGTGGGCCATCAGGCACCTGGGCAGGGGCGGTGGGCCACCCACACTCGATTGTCGTTCTCTGGCAATCTCCAAGCCCAACGCCTCTGTGGCTTGCAAGCTGCATCGCCTGGCATTGGTCCATGCCACCGCCACTTTCATGGCCCCTTGAGCCTCCATCTTCTGCCCCGTAAGAGCTTCCAGCTCCTCATAACATTTCTGCGCTGACGGCCAAAAGTGGTGGAAATCCCCAGGTGAGCGGATGCCCAACCCGAAGATGGCCTCACGGACGCTCTCCGGGAGCTCGCCCAGGACTCGCACAAGGCTGGGGTCCATGCTGTCGTCCTGGCCGTTGTCCACATTGGATGAAGGCCATGAGCTCCTCGACGTTGAAGGTACCGTCTCGGTTCCGCGGCACTTCACCTGCTGGGATCTGCACGGGGGCGTCGAGGCGGATGAACTGGCCCCGCTCATCGTGAAACCCGGTGACTTCGATGAGTCCCTCCTGGCCGACCCGCTCGACATCAGCGTAGAGATGCCCTGCCTCCAGGCAGGAGTGGCAGAGGAGCTTCTCCTGGTCGCACGTGGTGCACACTGCGGTCGGTACTCCGGTGCACCCCTCGCAGTAGCACCCAGTCCACTCGCCGCAGTGGGTGCACGGCTGGCCACCCAGGTCCCGGACCTGAGTGGCAGCCTTATAGTGCACCACCGCAAAGGCCTCCTTGGCGCCCTTGATGACCAGGCGCTCAGAGCGCGTCAGCGCCGCAGCGGCCACCGCTGGATGGGCCCGGAAGAAATCCAGCGCCCTGCTCTGCCAGCCCTTCCAGTCCACCACTGCCAAGGCCATAGAAAAACCAGCAGAGGGGACAGGCTGGATGGCTTGAGCCAAAATGGTTCAAGACATCCAGCTGTCCCCCTAACTTTTCAAATCACATGAAGACCCTTCCCAACCAACCTACTCACATGTAAGATAAACATGAAAGAGGACCAAAATCCTTCCCATTCAACGTTCGTAGCCAAAATCATGAGTTGAGAAGCCACGATCCTTTCAATCCTTTCCCTAAGAGTCATATGTGACCAGGTGTCACTTCAGACCGCCCCAGAATTCGACCCAAGAAGCGGGTATCCTCATCTGATGCACCAACACCTGTCACAAAGGAAGCAGGGGCATGGACGATTTTGTCCAACTCACCTCTCTGACAACTGCACGGCTTCTCATATCACCCCCAGAAATAGGTATTAATTAAGTCGTCTCAATGTTTGTGCATCAATGCTCGCTAAAAAACCCAACTGGAATCCTATTTTTTCCTAGTTGGAATGGGAATTCTACCCACAACTGGCACCAAGAACTGCTACAGTCGACAGTTCTGCCCACCTCATACTGCAGACAGTGGTGGAGTGCTCGCAGGGAGATCTCCCACAAGGCATCTGCATGTTTTCTCAGCAGCACATCCTGGGTGGCCAAGGGGGGGACTTTAGTGTAAACTAGGGGGACTTTAGTGTAGAACCCAAATACCTGTAGGGTTTTTTCTGAAAATACCCAAAAAAAAGATGCCGAATCACTGTTACTCGTCATTATTTCCACATGTTCCCCTTTAACACAGCCAGTGTTTAATCTATTTTTTATAGCTCTTCCACCATCAGATCTGGTCCCAGGCACTGCACTGTTCTCCTCCGCCACGCTCTGTGCTTGTCCGGCTGCCCGCACCATGCGCGCCAAGATGTCCAGGTCGGACCAGAGTTCGGGGGCACAGGCGCCCAGCGTGCAGAAATACATCGATTCAAAGGCCCGGATCTGGATCTCCGGAATGGGATTCTCCATGTAGCCTGGAAGAATTTTCGGGGCCACTGGTGGATGTTTTCACCAGAAAACCAGAAGTGTTTTGCCGAATGATGGGATGTTGTGGGTCAAAGGCCTATGGTTTCTTTTAACCAATTCGAAGTTCCACACAAAAAAATAGGCTGCAGATGTTGAAGCCTGGAGAAGTGGAGAATGGAAAACAGCATATGCTGTCTGGTTGGCCCACTCAAATCAAAGAGGTGCTGCTTGAGCCCCAAAAAAAATGACACAAACCCCAAGAAAATGGTGTCCAAAAAGGTACGTCCTTATTTCCTTCCCAATCTTCCGAATCTTCCCAGCCATCTTTTGGGTCCCTGCCCTCTTGGCCCAGTTGCTACAGGCCAAGACCATAATCTCACGTGATAAGAACTTCCGGCGAAGTTCGCTTGGAGCCTGGGACCTCAATTCGCCGCTTGGGTTGATGGTTCCATATCTACATACCATAAAAACTGAGAAAGATGAACCCAAATTAACCCAAAACACTAGACGACGGTTGGCCCGAGAGCGAGTAGGTGTATAGGTATTCAGATGTGTTATGTAGTTGTATGATTTGCAAACGCCAAAGACTTACATGGTTTTTGAGATCATGTGAATATGTTCATTATGTGTAGATGTCAAGATAAGAAAATGCTAAGATGTCAGGGTTTTAGTTGCAAGAGACAGACAAGGTATGCTGTATAGAAGATGTGAAAAATACAAACATAGAGAAATGCTGATACTGTAGGCTCTCAAACACAGACCACGCAGAGAAACATGTTTACACATATATATACACACAGACACACACTTGTAGTGTTACCGCTGAGCGGCCCCCAGTCTTATGCGAACATCCTGATCCAATCGCAGATCTTTTGGAGTTCTTTATGCATAGCCGGAGTTTTGTCGCGCTGGCCAGTTAAACTGACGCAGGGATGAAAATGAAAGAAATCTGTCTCTGTCTCTTTGCAGTTTCGGATGCTCTGCTGGGTTTCCTCATCAGGATGCCCAAGCCCAGCAGAGTGGGCACCGACTGCTTCTCTTGTCTCTCTTTGTTTCTTTGCGCGAAATCGATGATGATGACATGAAACCAGAGGTGAAAGAGGGAACAAGGAAAGGTAAGAACAGAACATGCATTCCCTTTGTTAACAGGGGTCCGCGCACACACACGCCCGTAGCTATGACGGGCAGCGGCTTTTTTCTTTGGAGATGCCGGTATGCCGTTTTTGGCAAAGTGTCTTGCAAAATGGAAAATGAAAAGCCAGCTTTGTGATACAAATCAAGAAGGGCGCTCAAACTTCCTGGAATCAATTCCTTTGGAAAAGAATAGTTGACAATCAAGTGTGCTCTGCTGCGAAATCCTGAAAGTGTGAGGTTGTTTGTTCCTGCATTGGCTGGACTCCTGACTTTCCACGGCTTGTCAACATCAATAAATTTGACTTGCCGTTTGTGTGGGTAAATGTCAAAACCTAAAAAATTGATGTCCTCAACTTCTTCAACTTCGATAGGCCTGCCATAAAACCACTTGTGGAGCCAAACAGCCAAAGGGTGATCTGTAGAATGCTGTTGGTCAACGATTGTGAGCCTGTTGTCTACATACCGCATAAGGAGAAGGTGCAACCCTGACGATTGCCTCCAAATGTGGTAAGTTTGCCGCCATGTCATCTCATGGCCTGCAACGCAAATGCTGCACAGTGCTGGAGAAATTTTGCTGCCAATTGGTGACCCTTGAACTTGGAGCCAAGTTGTGTTAAGGGCGGAAAAGACAGCGGTGTCAAAGGTTGTTTGGACGATTGGAAGGATGTCATCAAGGCGCAAAGATTTGACCTGTGTGTGCCGATGGTGCTGGGACAATGAGCCGCTGGTGGTGCGATTGTGTTTGCAACTGCTTTGGGTGTTAACTGAAAGTGTGTGGATGTCTGGGTGTTTTGCTTTGTAGTGCTTAATCAAGTGGTCAACAAAGAAGAGTACTTTGTCCTGAGGGATGGAGTTGAAGAAGCCCACCAAGTCGTCGTTGTACATCACGAGGTCAATGTCGCTGGAAGTCTCATCGAAGAACTTGTGAAGCTTCTGGAATAGTTCCGGTGTAGGTGTTGTCCCCAAGGTTGAAGGCCACACTTCGGTCAGCATGTCTGCTAGGGCTACTGCAGTGATGTGCGTCAGCTTGGTGAGGACACTGCAGTGGTATCCAATAATTGTACGGCCCTTTTTCCAAGATTTCTTCCGTTTCAGGAACGCTTGTCCTGTTGGGATTTTGTACTGTTTGTTGACTGGCTGGTGCCCACTGTCCTTTTGAAGCTTTCCTCGGGTCTTGTGCAGCGATGCCGGGAATGCCCACTTGTAGTGCCTTTTTATTTGTTGTGGCACTTGGTTCAACTGGAACTGTGGCCCATCTGGTTGGTTGGGAATTGGCTGGAAAAGTGCGGCATCATCCCATGTGGTTTGGAGAGCTTTAAGGTAAATCTTGGGGCAGTAGATCATGAGATGGCTATTCCCATGGTCTTCGTTGTGAACCACCATGTCCTTTGGAATGAGCTTTTTGAATTGCTGGAGGTTGTGAGCGGTGTATTTGGGCGTTTTGCGCAGGAATTGCTTGTGAGAGGAGATTTGGGAGTCAAAGAAGTGCTCAAATTGTTTCAAAAGTTGTCGGCTGGGCAGCCCATGTTTGTCTGCCCATTTTTTAAGAGCCTGGGCTGAACAGGTCAATACCTGGCTGGTGTGTGGGTAGAAAGTTGCTTGCGCATTAGCCCATTGGTACAATGCTTGTAGTCTGGTGCTGGTGAATGTCAATTGTTCAATGCCTGAAGCAATGTGCCCATCGAGTGTTTCCAGCAACGGGTGCTTTTTGAGCATGCTGTCGCATGAGCATGAAAGGTCCCGAAAATCTGTCTGCGGTGTCCAATGTTCAGCCGCTTGCCTCCAGTTCCATAGTGCAGTGCTGAGCGATGGGTTTGCAGCTTCTTGTACTTTGGCTGATGGAAGGTGAAATGGAACAGCAATCTCCTTGTGTTCCAGGACAAACTTTCGTAACCAAGCCGCCATCCGAGACCGATATTCTGGGTGGGCAAGGAATGGCAACCTAATTGGCTGGCTGGATCTTGGACGAGTCATGGTGCGAAACTGCATGACTTTGTGGAACAAGCCTTGGAGTTTGCTTCTCTGGGGTTGTTCGATGACGTTTGTGAGCCTGTAGATGGCATAGATTTCCGCATCCAAAACTGCCCCGCTGCGAAGGTATCTGCACGCTTCAAAGGATCTCTTGGAGTTCTCTGCCAACCTGTAGAGAAGATCCCAGGCTTGAAGTCTCTCCATGGTGTGCTGTTGAAACATTGCAACTGAGCAAAACGTGTGTTTGCGAAGCTTTCTCCAGAGTCGTACTCCGGTATGGAGTACACTGCTTCTGTGCTGCACTGCTAATCGAACAAAACTATTGGATTTTCGTCGAAAGTGGCGAAGAATATGTGGGTAGTTCAGATGTGGCTGCCAGCGTTGTATGAGGAGGTGCTCAAAGCACCAGGCTTGCTGGTATGTGTCATGTGCGGAAAGTACTAAAACAGTGTGTTGGTAAAAAGTGTTGTTTCTTGCCCAATAGCGGATCGCTGGCTCAACATGCACAAGTTGCTCTTGTGTGACTTGTTTGTATTTGCTAATCCTGTTCCATTCTCTTTTAGGAAGTCCTTCCTTAGTGCTGCCAATGTAAATGTGCTTGCTGTCAACCTTGAAATGCTGAGGTTGCATTTGTTGGTGCTGTGGAAAAGAAATTGGCAGCCGCACGTATGTGATGTTGCTGTGAGAGAAAAACGAAAAGGTGTATTTGCTTGGGTGGAGGGAAATGGTTTTAAATTTCGCTTTGAGCTCTTTGCCTGAAAAGGTGTGCTCTCCATGATGCCAAATCAGTGTGAGATGCACTAAACCTTGTGCCCAAAGTGCTATTTGCTTGTCAACAAACGGAACTTGATAAACAAAGAAGTTGAGCGCCTGCAAAAGTTTAAACAGGTGGGTGAAAAGCTGGCTTTGCTGTACACAGCCATTGCTATGGCAGTTCATTGTTTCTGTGACTAGTCAGGCAGCCTGCAGTGCCGCCGCTGCAACGATCTGAGACAACGATTTGTTGCTGGCCTTCTCTGCCAAGTTGTAGGGAAGCCCCCATTTGATAGCCAAGGCACGGAGGTCGCCCAGGTCTTTGCTTTTGAGCCCTTTGTGGTGTTCCACGACTTGCTTGACGTACTTGTCGAGCTGGGAAGCCTTCTCCTTGTCCATGTGCTTCTTGATGTTTTCAAGCCATTGTTGCATGGCTTTGTCGGTGGTGGCTGAAGGAGGGTCCTCAAGAGCTTGCTTGGGGTGGTGGATAGCATCAACCTCAAGCAGTTGGACCTTGCGTTTCTTTGCGGGATGCACTGATGAGCCTGGTTCTGAATTCGCTTCTCCTGGTTTCTCCCTGTGGTGGTATGCTTCTCCGGAGTCAAAACAACTCCTTTGGCTCGGAACCGAGCATTCTCTGCCTCCAAGCTTTGGATTTTCTTCAAGGCGGTGCAATCTTGGGCGACCGGGTGGAGCTCATCCAAAAGACTCATGATTTTGTCCACAAGCGGTGTCATGAAGTCGATGGCATGTTCATGTTTGCTGGGGGGTGGTGTGTTGCTGTCAGCCCAAATGCGTTCAGCAATGGCATCAATATTGTATTTCTTTTCCCTGATCTTCTTGAACAACCCTGCAGCGAACACGGCTTCTGATGTGGATCGGGCCCACACTGGCGTGACAAAGGACCCTTGAGACAAAACTCGAAGCGCATGTTCTTCCCAGCCGTTCTTGGTGATGTCCACGATGCTTATGTCTTCCACCGGGCGGCCCGCTAGTTGCCGCTTTCGGGACCAATTGGTGGGTTGAACTTTGCGGTGGAGTTTGTACCCATATTTCTCACGGTTGTCCAAGAACTCCTCATCAGCCTGAAAGTCTGAAGGAACCGCAGTCTGGGTGATGCTGGCGGATGGCTTGGTCTGATCCCACTTTGACTCTGGCTGGCTCTGATCCCATGAGTTCTTGTGACTGTCTGACCATGATCCCCAGGAATTGTCTGACCAATTGGACCAAGAAGAGCCGGACTTGTTCCACGCCATTGACGAGGCACGGTTTGCACTGCAGATCGAAACGCAGGTCTGACAAAAAAGGGGCTACATCAGAGTCGCAAAAATGACTGCTGCTGGCTCAAAATTTGAATGGGCTTGTGAAACCTTTTCACAAAGTAAGTTCAACGTTTATATTCTGTAGTGTCCTTGCTGGAAGGTGAAACTAACGTCAAATCAACATGGTGGAAGGCGACAAAGCTGCTAGCGATGCCGTGTGTCTTATACTTATCAAGGTGCATGATCACAGTCGGATACAGTTGTTAAGCTGCAAGGCAAAGCTGCAAAGCTGCAAGACAAAGCTGCATTGCTGTCACATTAAGCTGCAAAGCTGAAGACAAAACTGCAAGACAAAGCTGCACGGTCGCAACGTTAAGCTGCAAATCTGCAAGTTTGCAAGAGAAAACTGCAAAACTGCAAGACAAAGCTGCACGGTCACACTGTCAAGCTGCAAATTTGCACGTCTGCAAAACCAAGCTGCAATGCTGCCAGTCTTGTCTCTCGACCCTATCCCTTATTCTCAAGTCAATATACTTAAAAACCAAAGATCCCCCAAAAAAAACAACAAACCGCAAGTCAAAGTTCCGGGGCATTGGATTATATACGTGGCGAGAATGCGGAAAGGCAAAGCCCGCAATTATGCGAACGAACTCGTCGACCAGGTAAACCAGTAAACCCAAGGAAAGCTGGGTGGGAAATGGTTGGAAACAACCCCCAAAAAATACGCCGTCGGTTCGAGCGCGGGGAATCTGCGTGGCACCGCCGCAGATAGAGTATCATTGCAAATCAATTTGGATCTACTTCCAAGATCTTCCAAGCAACCAAGAAATGCCCAAACAAAAATAGAATAAATAAATAAAAAACAAAAGAACAGAAAAAAGGAAAAACAAAAAGAAGAAACCAAAGACGGCAAACGGTGACCTGTTGGGGACATTAGCAGAAAAAGAAAAAACCAATGGTTTGGTGGTTCCGCCAAAAAAACGTTGACAGCATGTCAGAAACCTCCGCCCGATGATGCATTTTCCATGGTACACCGTCGGTCTCAAGGACTGCAGGCACTAAACCGCGACTTCAACACATCAACAGACAAACAGCCAAGTGCCCAGGGGGTGCGAACAAACTGGAAATGGAAACATTAAACAGGATGATGACATGGTTCGTGTGCCTGACGTAACTGCCAAGGTCTAGTTGGGAAACAGAAAACGCAAATCGTCACAACGTCCATTTTTTTGCTGGTGATGCCGGGCTGGAATTGAATCATAGCTCAGCAGAACCAAAAAGTGGCTTGATATGCTAGGGGCCTGGATTAATAACCATATTTTTAAAAAATAAAAAATAAATAAAAACAAATAAAAAAACAAAAAACAAAATAAAAAAACAAAAAAAGAAATAAAAAGGAAAAAAAAGGAAAAACACAAAAAAAAAAACAAATAAAAGAAAAAAAAAGAAAAGAAACATCTTATTTCCAAACGCAGTGACAAATTTTAGTATGATATGTGGAAATACTGAGCTGTCAGTGATCTACCCAAAACTTTGGTTGTTGTTCTGTTGCAAACGCTGCAAATGCTGATGGTAAAGTGTGTTAGGCGGTGGTCAAACATATTATTGTTTCCTAGCTGGGTGTTATGATTGGGGCAAAAGATGTTTGACAACACATGTTGTTTTGATTAGGTTACAGGTTAGTTAGTTGCCTGTTTTTTTCTCAGAAAAATAGGCTGTCAGCTGTTTGTCAGTTGTTTGTCAGTTGTTGCTGCACTGGTTCCTCTCAGAAAAATAGGCTGTCAGCTGTTTGTCAGTTGTTTGTCAGTTGTTGTTGCACTGGTTCCTTCTCCCTTGGCATCTTACCTTTACCGTTGGGGCCTGAGGACAACATGTTTGGCAAGACCTGTCATGTGAGTCAATCCTACTAATCCTCCATTGATTGAGATCATTCTGATATTGGGTTCTTTCATTGATGTTCAGTTCTTGGTTTTGGCAATTGGTTTATGATCATATTATTCTTACTGCAATTGCTCAGGCTCTTCCGTCACTGGGTCTTCATTGCCAGCACTGCTCAGAGGTGGGAGTCTGCGAGTTTGAAGTCGGGGATACTGGATTTAATCTTGAAACGGAAAAATAAGTGAAAAATAGGGAATGTCAGATGTTTTCAGCCAAGCTGCCTGCTGTTCACAATCATGATCCATGATTTAATCTTCAATGAATGGCTCGAAGATTCGATTGCATTTTCAAATCATCATCAATAGCACTAGCTCAGACTAGCTCAGATTAATTAATATCAAAGAATAGCACTAGCTAGCTCAGATTAATTCACATTGTTTTGCAGCGGGGTTTTCGTTGCCGTGGTGCATGGCCACATCCGTTGCTGTGGAAAAGCTGGACTGGGAAGGGCTGGACATTTTGTCACAGAGTCTTGTCTGCATTAGTTCAGGGGGAATGGGGTTTTCTGCTGATGTCTCTCTTGATTTCACTGGACTTGGACTTGAGATGTTTGACAACAACTGACTGACATTGAAATTTGAATTTGAAATTGGTTTCAATAAATAAAGTTTTACATTCAAAGCAGTCCCACTCAAACAGCGCATGCTTTTCTCAGGAAAGCCCAACAGGTGACTTGGATTGGACACTGATTGGCGTTCAACCCCCTTGGTTTAAAAAAATGCAATGCAAACACTGTTTGATTGGCATTCAACCCCTTGAGCGTTTAATTTCATGGCCCAACTGTTGGTAAGTAAAACATGAGTTGGGAAGTTTTTGATTTTAAACATGGACCAAGTAAGAAGCTGGAAAAACTCTGGCACTGACCGTGGCTTCAGGCTCTCTACTTGTTCTACTTGATCGACAGCAAAAAGGCCAAGGAAACTTGGACACTTGCTGGCATTTGATTTGAGGGTCCCAGAGTCAGTTGCTGTCGGTTGTTTCAATTTCAGTCTCTGTCAGTTGTTGCCAATTGTTTCACAGTGTGACGTGGTTGTACATTGGAAATTTGTTCCAATTATGATTGAACTTGTTGAAACAGTTTTCAAACCATCATCTGTCAATTGATGTGCCAGTGATTGATTTAATATGATTCTTGCGATTGGATCTTGATTCGTGCCGTGAATGATTCATGGCTGTGAGTGATGATTGAAATTCATGAATTGAATCCAGAATATCACAAACAGCAAGTGGCTACACGAACAATTGACTGAATTGCAGTTTTGACAACTAAGGGACTTCGCCTTCAATCGGAAACAGCAGGATCCTGGCTACTTCAAGGACCTGGACGTCTGGATCTTGAAGACGTGCAAGACGGAGGTTGAGCAGCAACTTGGCACTGCAGTTTGAGCTGAACAACACTGAGGATTTATGTTCTGTTTATGCAGGTTACCCAGGTTAGTTAGTGCAGCAGCATTGCATTGCAAGTAGAATAAATTTAGTGTAGACGAGATAAAGTTTATAATGCAAATAAATATATCTTAATCAAAGATATTGTTTTGACTTTTGAGTGTCTCTGTCAACTGTCAAGTATGTGTGGATCGGGCCTGTCCAGAGCTAAGGATCAATCTTGCTTTGGGATTCGTTCAGGATGCAGGTTTCTCCAAATGTAAAGGTGGCTGCTCTGGAGACAGTATCTTGACCGCAATTGATTTTATTATAATTCTATTGTATATAGCGAAAGGGAACCAATCAATCACATTTATAAAGCTGGTCAACAACAAGTGTTCCAGGGATGGAGGCTGATTAAGACTTGTAACAAACAGGCAATCACTCACAGGTATACAACTCACCGATGTTTTCTATGAGCCATGCCCAGGAAAGATCGGGTGAGCTTGGATGGGTGCCGTTGATGAGTGGGCGCTGGTGTCGGTGGCCGCTGCAGGTGCTCATAGCGGGGCATCCTGAGAGGAACTGGGCTCCTCTTGAGTGGAGCTCATTGAGCACTGTTCATCACGATTTGTTGGAGCTGCTTCCGAATCTTAATCGTGCTATATCATGGAGTCTTTCTTTCAAGTTTCTTAATTTCAATATCATCATATTGAATATCTTGATTATTGAAATGGGGGAGGGAGTTGAAATTGAGCAGGACTGTCTCTTGTCAGCTGTTGTCACGGTTTTCATCACTTGGATTGTTGTTGTGCTTGCCAAACCAAGGAACCTCAACAAAGGTAAGGGCAAGGGCAAGGGCAGAGGCAAAGGCAAATTTGCTGCTCGTGATGGTGGGGGCTACACTTCTTTTCTTAGTGGGTGGCATGAGGAGACCCAGCGATCTGTGGCTCAGATCAACAATTGACTCAACTTTTGGGTTCACAGCCATGTCTGTCTTTCATCACAATGTGTTCATTTCAGGTTATGGAGCATCCTGAGTTCATGCGGGTGCTCAGCATGATTCTGTCGAGGCCAGCTGCTGTGGTGAGGACTCTTGCCAAGACATATCATGCCATTTCAATTGCTAAAATTTTAACTGGCTGACATTGAAAATCGGTTTAGTCATTAGTTTAGTCTTTGAGTGAGTCATGCCAAGGGCCAAGACAACAGTCAATTTATATAACGTTTGTTGACAAGTAATATGGTCCAGCAATAATGGTTTGTATTGCACAATGCACTCAATGCAACTTGACAAAAAAAACTCACAAACAAAGTCGAACTAAGGATAACATGTTAGGCTGGCAAGCACCGCACTGGAACCATGACAGCTGTGCTTTGGACAATCCTGACGGTGCCTTGGATTGCCAACCAATTGAATACCCAGTTCAAAAAAATACCAAAAGTAAATTGATCTTGAGTGACTTAAATTTATTTCATTTTCCTGGTACTGGCATGCTGAATCGCAGACCTTTCAATTCCGGTGACATTTGCACAAATCATTCGGCTCAGGCTGCTGGAGTCAAGGTGATCGTTGTCATGCAGATTTCAACTTGGAACTTCAGGCAAGACTGCAGCACCGGCCATTACTTCTTGAAGAAGTGGAAGGCTTGGAGACTTGGAATGGGAATGTTGAAGGTGACAAATCAATC